ACACTATACACTAGTGCTGTACTAGTACACTACACTATACACTACACTATACACTACACTATACACTACACTACTACACTACATTATTATACACTACACTACTACACTACATTATTATACACTACACTATACACTAGTGCTGTACTAGTATACTACACTAGACACTACACTATACACTAGTGCTGTACTAGTATACTACACTATACACTACACTACTATACACTATACTATACACTAGTGCTGTACTAGTATACTACACTATACACTACACTATATACTACACTATACATTAGTGCTGTACTAGTATACTACACTATACACTACACTATACACTAGTGCTGTACTGGTATACTACACTATACACTACACTATACACTAGTGCTATACTAGTATACTACACTATACACTACACTATACACTAGTGCTGTACTAGTATACTACACTATACACTACACTATACACTAGTGCTTTACTAGTATACTACACTATACACTAGTGCTGTACTAGTGTACTACACTATACTATACACTAGTGCTGTACTACTACACTGCACTATACACTACACTACTATATACTACACTATACACTACACTATACACTAGTGCTTTACTAGTATACTACACTATACACTACACTATACACTAGTGCTGTACTAGTATACTACACTATACACTAGTGCTGTACTAGTGTACAACACTATACTATACACTAGTGCTGTACTAGTATACTACACTATACACTACATTATACACTAGTGCTGTACCAGTATACTACACTATACACTACACTATACACTAGTGCTGTACTAGTGTACTACACTATACACTACACTATACACTAGTGCTGTACTAGTATACTACACTATACACTACACTATACACTAGTGCTGTACTAGTGTACTACACTATACACTACACTATACACTAGTGCTGTACTAGTATACTACACTATACACTACACTATACACTAGTACTGTACTAGTGTACTACACTATACACTACACTATACACTAGTGCTGTACTAGTGTACTACACTATACACTACACTATACACTAGTGCTGTACTAGTATTCTACACTATACACTACACTATACACTACACTATATACTAGTGCTGTACTAGTATTCTACACTATATACTACACTATACACTAGTGCTGTACTAGTATACTACACTATACACTACACTATACACTGGTGCTGTACTAGTATACTACACTATACACTAGTACTGTACTAGTGTACTACACTATACACTACACTATACACTAGTACTGTACTAGTGTACTACACTATACACTACACTATACACTAGTGCTGTACTAGTGTACTACACTATACACTACACTATACACTAGTGCTGTACTAGTATTCTACACTATACACTACACTATACACTACACTATATACTAGTGCTGTACTAGTATTCTACACTATATACTACACTATACACTAGTGCTGTACTAGTATACTACACTATACACTACACTATACACTGGTGCTGTACTAGTATACTACACTATACACTACACTATACACTAGTACTGTACTAGTGTACTACACTATACACTACACTATACACTAGTGCTGTACTAGTGTACTACACTATACTATACACTAGTGCTGTACTAGTATACTACACTATACACTACATTATACACTACACTACACACGAGTGCTGTACTAGTATACTACACTATACACTACACACTACACTATACACTAGTGCTGTACTAGTATACTGCACTATTCACTACACTATACACTAGTGCTGTACTAGTATACTACACTATACACTACATTATACACTACACTACACACGAGTGCTGTACTAGTATACTACACTATACACTACACTATACACTACACTATACACTAGTGCTGTACTAGTGACCAACTGGCCACGTTCTGTTTACGTGACAACCCTCGCTAGTTGGCTGCGCCTGGGGGTGGTGGCGGGTTTTAACGACACATTTCTATATTTACGTGGCAATATAACCCAAACAACCTCTATTATGGATGCAGACAGCCGTCACTGGTGTTGCTAGCCGTGAGCGGGAATCGAATTCGGGTCGACCCGGGTTTGCAGCGCGGCGTGCTAACCGCTACACCACCACCACCATCACCACCATCACCACCACCATTACCACCACCACCATCACCACCACCACCACCATCACCACCATCACCACCATCACCACCACCATCACCACCACCACCACCATCACCACCACCATCACCACCACCATCACCACCACCATCACCACCATCACCACCATCACCACCACCATCACCACCACCACCACCACCACGACCACCACCACCATCACCACCACCACCATCACCACCACCACCACGACCACGACCACCACCATCACCATCACCACCACGACCACCACCACCACCATCACCACCACCATCACCACCACCATCACCACCACCACCATCACCACCACCATCACCACCACAACCATCACCACCATCACCACCACGGGAAGGGACGTTGTCGTACGGAGAAACTAAACATAAATGAGCGCCAGTTTCAAGGGATGCCGGGACTGCTGAAGGGACGTCGGGAGTGCAGTGGGCTGAGAAGGATGGACAGGGAGGAAGGCACGGTCCAGGATCACAAGCGGCAGCAGGAAGAGAGGGGGAGACGGAGGTGAAGGAGCAACTTGGGACCACGACGTCGGGGATGATGAAAGGGCGATGGCGGCGGCGACGAGTCGCCGCCGCCATCGCCGCCATCGATCAGCGGCGGCTTTGGCTACGTCTGACGCGGCACAAGATCAACGTACGTACAAACAGCCCGTCACGAAACAAAATCCTCCCCGGCCGCCCTCACGCAGGGGGGCGGCTTGTGGCTCGTCGGACAAAGACGGCGGCCGCCGCGTTCGGGCGCGCATCCTAGGGCCGTCTGGAACGCTCTTCCGTCCGACATGAAGAAGCCACCTGGAGCTTGCGCGTTTTCATAGTCCCCTGCATTTAAAAAAAAACAATTCCTCTAGAACTGCTTTTCGTGTCTTCTTGTTCCTTCTCCCCGAGCTCCTCCGATTCACGCGGCTTGGCTACGTTAAGGTTCAACGGACGTACACATGATGAGCGGGGAGGCACGCGGAGGGAGGCGACGGAAGGAAGGAAGGAGGGGAAGGGAACTGCACGGAGGAGGATGTAGTGAGAGAGTGTGAGAGTTTGAGTGTGAGTGAGAGAGTGAGTGTGAGAGAGTGGTGTGAGAGTGTGAGTGAGAGAGTGTGTGAGTGAGAGTGTGAGTGAGTGTGTGAGTGAGAGAGTGAGTGTGAGAGAGTGTGTGAGAGAGTGAGTGAGAGTGTGAGTGTGTGAGAGAGTGTGTGAGTGAGAGTGTGTGAGAGAGTGAGTGAGAGTGTGAGTGAGTGAAAGTGTGAGAGAGTGTGAGTGAGAGTGTGAGTGAGTGAGTTCACACGTGAGTGTTGCTCCCACACAGCTCGTAGAAGAGGATGTAGTGAGAGAGTGTGAGAATGTGAGTGAGAGTGTGAGTGAGAGTGCGAGTGAGAGTTTGAGTTTGAGTGAGTGAGAGTGTGAGTGAGAGTGTGAGTGAGAGAGTGAGTGAGAGGGTGAGTGAGAGAGTGAGAGAGTGAGTGAGTGAGAGAGTGAGAGTGTGAGTGAGAGAGTGTGAGTGAGAGAGTGAGAGTGTGAGTGAGTGAGAGTGTGAGTGAGTGAGTGAGCGTGTGAGTGAGTGAGTGAGAGAGTGCGAGAGTGAGAGAGTGTGAGTGAGTGAGAGTGTGAGTGAGAGTGTGAGTGAGTGAGTGAGAGTGTGAGTGAGAGAGTGAGTGAGTGAGTGAGAGTGTGAGTGAGAGAGTGAGTGAGTGAGTGAGAGTGTGAGTGAGTGAGTGAGAGTGTGAGTGAGTGAGTGAGAGTGTGAGTGAGTGAGTGAGAGTGTGAGTGAGTGAGTGAGAGAGTGCGAGTGAGAGAGTGAGTGAGTGAGAGAGTGTGAGTGAGTGAGAGTGTGAGTGAGAGTGTGAGTGAGTGAGTGTGAGTGAGAGAGTGAGTGAGAGAGTGAGTGAGAGAGTGAGAGTGTGAGTGAGAGAGTGAGTGAGAGAGAGAGTGAGTGAGAGAGTTTGAGTGAGAGAGTGAGTGAGACAGTGAGTGAGAGTGTGTGAGTGTGTGTGAGTGAGAGTGTGAGTGAGAGAGTGAGTGAGAGTGTGAGTGAGTGAGTGAGAGTGTGAGTGAGTGAGTGAGAGAGTGCGAGTGAGAGAGTGAGTGAGTGTGAGTGAGTGAGAGTGTGAGTGAGAGTGTGAGTGAGTGAGTGAGAGTGTGAGTGAGAGAGTGAGTGAGAGAGTGAGTGAGAGAGTGAGAGTGTGAGTGAGAGAGTGAGTGAGAGAGAGAGTGAGTGAGAGAGATTGAGTGAGAGAGTGAGAGAGTGAGTGAGAGAGTGAGTGAGAGTGTGTGAGTGTGTGTGAGTGAGAGTGTGAGTGAGAGAGTGAGTCAGAGTGTGAGTGTGTGTGAGAGAGTGAGAGTGTAAGTGAGTGAGTGAGTGTGTGTGAGAGAGTGAGAGTGTGAGTGAGTGAGAGTGTGAGTGAGTGAGTTCACACGTGAGTGTTGCTCCCACACAGCTCGTAGAAGAGGATGTAGTGAGAGAGTGTGAGTGTGTGTGAGTGAGAGTGTGAGTGAGAGTTTGAGTGAGTGAGAGTTTGAGTGAGAGTGTGAGTGAGAGTTTGAGTGAGTGTGTGTGAGAGTGTGAGTGTGTGTGAGAGAGTGAGTGAGAGAGTGAGTGAGAGAGTGAGAGTGTGAGTGTGTGTGAGTGAGAGAGTGAGTGAGTGAGTGAGAGTGAGTGAGTGAGAGAGAGAGAGAGAGAGTGAGAGTGTGTGTGTGAGAGAGTGTGTGAGTGAGTGAGAGAGTGAGAGTGTGAGTGAGAGAGTGAGAGTGTGAGTGAGTGAGAGAGTGAGTGAGAGAGTGAGAGTGTGAGTGAGAGAGTGAGTGAGTGAGAGAGTGAGTGAGAGAGTGAGTGAGTGAGAGTGTGAGTGTGAGTGAGTGAGAGAGTGAGTGTGAGTGAGAGTGTGTGAGAGAGTGTGTGAGAGAGTGAGTGAGAGTGTGAGTGAGAGTGTGAGTGAGAGTGTGTGTGAGTTCACACGTGAGTGTTGCTCCCACACAGCTCGTAGAAGAGGATGTAGGCATCGCTGGACACGACTCGACTCTCAGGCACCTCCGTGACGCTGAGACAGAGCAGAGACAAAGACAAAGGTCCCCCGTGTAGCCTGTCGCTCTTGCTCGTAATAACAGCGGTGAGGGGTGTTCGTCGCATGGACGTTTCGGGGATAGAGCCTGGTGCAGCTCCCTTGGCTGCACCAGCACCACCACCGGCACGACCACTGCCACCACCACGACCACCGTGACCACCGCCACCACCACCACCAAAACAAAGATCCCCCGTGTAGCCTTAACAGACTGTTGGGGCAAGCGCTGTTAGCGAGCACCTATGAAGATCCGGCACGGCACACGAGGGGGTGGGTGGCCAGCGCCACGCCCGGCCGCCTTTGTCTCCCTCAGTGGCTACACCAGGCTCACTCATTTGAGGCCGAGCCGGACCTAGGGTGAGGCTCAGAACCGGTTCAGTGGCCGTGAGCGGGAGTCGAACTTGGGTCGGCCGGGTTCGTAGCGCGGCGGAGCGCTAACCGTTGCGCCACCGCTCCCCCCGAGACAACGGCAAAAACAGCAACCGCCGCTAAGTGGCGCTGGCATCACCACGGCGCGCGTGCCAGGCTATGTGCACATTGAGGCCGTGCGAAGAGCACAGACACACGCACGAAAGACATGTGCATGTACGTGGGTGTGCGTGTATGCACGTGCGTGGGTGTGCGTGCGCGGGTGTACGTGGGTGTGCGTGTGTGTACGTGCGTGTGCGTGGGTGTGCGTGGGTGTGCGTTGGTGTACGTGCGCGTACGTGCATGTGTGCGTGTGCGTGCGTGGGTGTGCGTGCGTGTACGTGGGTGTGTGTGGGTGTGCATGTGTGTATGTGTACGTGGGTGTACGTGGGTGTACGTGGGTGTACGTGGGTGTGCGTGCGTGTACGTGGGTGTGCGTGCGTGCACGTGCGTGCGTGGGTGTGCGTGGGTGTGCGTGGGTGTGCGTGCGTGGGTGTACGTATGTGTACGTGCGTGCGTGCGTGTGCGTGGGTGCACGTGTGTGCGTGGATGTGCGTGGGTGTGCGTGTGTGCGTGGGTGTACGTGGGTGTACGTGCGTGTACGTGTGTGTGTGTGTACGTGCGTGTGTGTGCGTGTGTGTGTGTGTACGTGTGTGTGTGTGTACGTGTGTGTGCGTGTATGTGTACGAGGGTGTACGTGGGTGTACGTGCGTATGTGTGCGTGCGTGCGTGTGTGTACGTGTGTGTACGTGTGTGTGTGTGTACGTGTGTGTGTGTACGTGTGTGTGTGTACGTGTGTGTGTACCTGGTGTCGTTGTAGAGGTACCAGGAGCCGGACTGTGCGTGGCGACACAGCGAGACGTAGTGGCCACACTGCATGGAGCCCGAGTGCAGCGACACGGCGTACAGGTCGTACAGCGCACACGCTGAACACACACACACACACCACCATCGTCATCATCAATAACATCGTCACCATCATCATCATCAATAACATCATCGTAACTAACATCGTCACCATCATCATCAACATCATCGTAACTAACATCGTCACCATCATCATCATCAATAACATCATCGTAACTAACATCATCGTAACTAACATCATCGTAACTAACATCGTCACCATCATCATCATCATCAATAACATCATCGTAACTAACATCGTCACCATCATCATCACGATGATGAAAGAAGTTCAACATACATATATACATCACCCCCCCCACCACCACCATCATCACCCCCCCCCACCACCATCACCCCCCCCCACCACCATCACCCCCACCCCCCCCACCACCACCACCACCACCCCCCCCCCACCACCATCACCCCCCCGACCCCCCGACCCCCCCCCACCGTTGCTCTCCGTGGTGTACGCCGTCAGGTCGAGCCCACGGAGTGGGTAGTTCACGGGGGCCGTCAGCTTGCTGGCGCCGGCACCACCGGCACCACCGCCGGCACCGCCGCCGCCGCCGGCCCCTCCACTCCCCGCCCTGCCTCTCCCTGGCGGCGGCGGCGGCGGCGGTGGGAGGAGGGAGGAGGAGGAGGGGGGGAGGAGGTGGTGGGACGCCGGCTCGGAGAAGCGCTTGAGGAAGAGGACAAGCAGGCGGGGAAGCCGTTGCAGTGAGAGGCGCTTGCCGCTGCGGCGCTTGCACTGGCAGCGGGGGCAGTGCGGGCGCTCGTCGCCGTCCAGCGTCTCCTCCTTGGCGAAGAGACGCACACACTCCTGCAGGGACGGGTCACTCAGCGGACGCTGGGCCGGCCGGGGGGAGAGGAGAGGAGAGGGAGGGTTGGTGGGTGAGTGAGCGAGAGGGTGGGTGGGTGGGTGAGTGAGTGGGTAGGTGAGTGAATGAGTGAGTGGGTGGATGAGTGGATGGGTGAGTGGGTGAGTGAGTGAGTGAGTGGGTAGGTGAGTGAATGAGTGAGTGGGTGGATGAGTGGATGCGTGGGTGAGTGGGTGGGTGGGTGGGTGAGTGGGTGGGTGGGTGGGTGAGTGGGTGGGTGGGTGAGACAGTGTGTTAGTGGGGGGGTGAGTGGATGGGTGAGTGGGTGGGTGAGTGGGTGGGTGAGTGGATGGGCGAGTGGGTGGGTGGATGAGTGGATGGGCGAGTGGGTGGGTGGGCGGGTGAGACAGTGTGTTGGTGGGGGGGTGAGTGGAGCGGTGAGTGGGTGGGTGAGTGGATGGGTGAGTGAATGAGTGGGTGGGTGGGTGGCTAAGGGTGTGGGTCGGTGCGTGAGTGAGTGGATTGTTGAGTAAATTGATAAGGGGGTGGGTGTGTGGGTGGGTAGGTGCATAATTGAGAGGATGAGTGAGTGGGTGAGTGGGTGGGCGAGTGAGTGGGTAGGTGAGTGAGTGAGTGGGTGGGCGGATGAAGGACTGAGTGAGCGGGTGGGTGGGTGGGTGAGACAGTGGGTTGGTGGGGTGGGTGAGTGGAGCGGTGAGTGGATGGGTGGGTGAGTGGGTGAGTGGCTAAGGGTGTGGGAAGGTGCGCGAGTGGATTGGTGAGTGGATGAATGAGTGAGTGGGTGAGTGAGTGGGTGAGTGGGTAAGTGAGTGGGTGAGTGAGTGGGTAAGTGAGTGGATGAGTGGATCGGTGAGTGAATGAATGAGTGCGTGGGTGTGTAGGTAGGTGGGTAAGTGGATGAACGCGTGGCTGGGTGTGTGGGCGAGCCGTTACTTTAGCGACGGGGAGTGGCAGGGACCAGAATGCGTCGAACGTGGTGGAGTGGAGGCCGCAGTGCAGGCACGTCAGGGTGCTCTTCAGCTGTCCCACAAACAGATCTGTCCCCAACATCACCGTCAACATCATCAACTTCATCGTCAACGTCATCAACTTCATCGTCAACGTCACCCTCAACGTCACCGTCAACGTCATCCTCATTGTCAACATCGTCGTTATCATAATCGTCAAACTTCATTGTCAATGTCATCGTCAACATCATCATCTTTGTCATCGTCAACATCTTTTGTCATCGTCAACATCGTCATCACCTTCATAAAAGTCATCATAATCGTTAAATTGACAAAAACAAAGATCCCCCGTGCAGCCTCTAACAGACTGTAGGGGCAAGTGCTGTTAGCGAGTAGCAGCGCCTATGAAGGCCGGCACGGCACACGAGGGGGTTGGTGCCCAGCACCACGCCCGGCCGCCTTTGTCTCTCCAGAGGGGATATTTACCACACACCGCTACACCAGGTAGTCATCATCATAGACATCATCACCATCACAGACATCATCATCACCATCACAGACATCGTCATCACCATCACAGTCATCATCACCATCACAGTCATCATCACCACCATCACAGACATCATCGTCACCATCACAGACATCACCATCACAAACATCATCGTCACCATCACAGACATCATCGTCACCATCACAGACATCACCATCACAGACATCATCGTCACCATCACAGACATCACCATCACAGACATCATCATCACCATCACAGACATCATCGTCACCATCACAGACATCATCGTCACCATCACAGACATCACCATCACAGACATCATCGTCACCATCACAGACATCACCATCACAGACATCATCGTCACCATCACATACATCATCATCACCATCACAGACATCATCGTCACCATCACAGACATCATCACCATCACAGATATCATCATCACCATCACAGACATCACCATCACAGACATCATCGTCACCATCACAGACATCATCGTCACCATCACAGACATCATCATCACCATCACAGACATCATCATCACCATCACAGATATCATCGTCACCATCACAGACATCATCATCACCATCACAGACATCATCATCACCATCACAGATATCATCGTCACCATCACAGACATCATCATCACCATCACAGACATCATCATCACCATCACAGACATCACTATCACAGACATCATCATCACCATCACAGACATCACCATCACAGACATCATCATCACAGACATCACCATCACAGACATCATCATCACCATCACAGACATCACCATCACAGACATCACCATCACAAACATCACCATCACAGACAACATCGTCACCATCACAGACATCATCATCACCATCACAGACATCACCATCACAGACATCATCATCATCACCATCACAGATATCATCATCACCATCACAGACATCACCATCACAGACAACATCGTCACCATCACAGACATCATCGTCACCATCACAGACATCACCATCACAGACATCATCGTCACCATCACAGACATCATTGTCACCATCACAGACATCGCCATCACAGACATCATCACCATCACAGACATCACCATCACAGACATCACCATCACCATCACAGACATCATCATCACAGACATCACCATCACAGACATCACCATCACAGACATCATCATCACCATCACAGACATCACCATCACAGACATCACCATCACAGACATCACCATCACAGACATCACCATCACAGACATCATCGTCACCATCACAGACATCATCATCACCATCACAGACATCACCATCACAGACATCATCATCACCATCACATACATCATCGTCACCATCACAGACATCATCGTCATCATCACAGACATCATCGTCACCATCACAGACATCATCATCACCATCATAGACATCGTCACCATCACAGACATCATCATCACCATCATAGACATCGTCACCATCACAGACATCATCATCACCATCACAGACATCATCTTCACAGACATCATCGTCACCATCACAGACACCATCATCACCATCACAGACATCATCATCACCATCACAGACATCACCATCACAGACATCATCATCACCATCACAGACATTACCATCACAGACATCATCATCACCATCACAGACATCACCATCACATACATCATCATCACCATCACAGACATCACCATCACAGACATCATCATCACCATCACAAACATCATCATCACCATCACAGACATCATCATCACCATCACAGACATCATCGTCACCATCACAGACATCATCATCACCATCATAGACATCGTCACCATCACAGGCATCATCATCACCATCATAGACATCGTCACCATCACAGACATCATCATCATCACCATCACAGACATCATCACCATCACAGACATCACCATCACAGACATCACCATCACCATCACAGACATCACCATCACAGACATCATCATCACCATCACAGACATCACCATCACAGACATCATCATCACCATCACAGACATCATCATCACCATCACAGACATCACCATCACAGACATCATCATCACCATCACAGACATCACCATCACAGGCATCATCATCACCATCACAGACATCATCATCACCATCACAGACATCACCATCACAGACATCATCATCATCACCATCACAGACATCATCACCATCACAGACATCACCATCACAGACATCACCATCACCATCACAGACATCACCATCACAGACATCATCATCACCATCACAGACATCACCATCACAGACATCATCATCACCATCACAGACATCATCATCACCATCACAGACATCATCATCACCATCACAGACATCATCATCACCATCACAGACATCACCATCACAGACATCATCATCACCATCACAGACATCACCATCACAGGCATCATCATCACCATCACAGACATCATCATCACCATCACAGACATCACCATCACAGACATCATCGTCACCTGCGACCCGAGTTCGATTACCGCTCACGGCCACCACAACACCCGAACCGGTTCTGGGCCTCCTCTAGGTCAACTCGGCCTCAAATTAGCACCCCGTGTCGACGTGTAAACATCCCGACGAGGGAGACAAAGGCGGCCGGGCGTGGTGCTGGCCACCCACCCCCTCGTGTGCCACAGTGCCGGCCTTCGTAGCTGCTGCTACTCGCTAACAGCACTTGCCCCTCCGAGTCTGTTAGGGCTACACGGGGGATCTTTGTCTTTGGGTGTGTGTGTGTGTTCACGTACCCACGATTTTACTGTTGTCTCTCTCCAGGTAACTCTTCCACTGCTTCATCGACTTCTCCTTATCACTGCAGGTGGACACCAGGGTGAGCGGACAGGTGAGCGATTTTTGGCGAGTGTACAGGTGGGCGAGTGTACTAGCGGTGGACAGGTGAGTGTCGTGGTGAGTATAGGGTTAGATGTAGGGGTGAGTGAGCGTGGTGGTGAGTCTAGGGATGAGCGTGGTGGCGAGCGTAATGGTGAGCGAAGGGTGAGTGAGCGTGGTGGTGAGCGTGGTGGTGAGCATGGTGGCGAGTGTAATGGTGAGCGCAGGGTGAGTGAGCGTGGTGGTGAGCGTGGTGGTGAGCGTGGTGGTGAGCGTGATGGCGAGTGTGGTGGCGAGCGTGGTGGTGAGTACGGTGGTGAGCGTGATGGTGAGTGAGCGTGGTGGTGAGCGTGGTGGTGAGTGTGGTGGTGAACGTGGTGGCGAGCGTGGTGGTGAGCACGGTGGTGAGCACGGTGGTGAGCGTGGTAGTGAGCGTGGTGGTGAGCGTGGTAGTGAGCGTGGTGGTGAGCGTGGTAGTGAGCGTGGTGGCGAGCGTGGTGGTGAGCGTGGTGGTGAGTGTGGTGGTGAGTGTGGTGGTGAGCGTGGTGGTGAGTGTGGTGGTGAGCGTGGTGGCGAGCGTGGTGGTGAGCGTGGTGGCGAGCGTGGTGGCGAGCGCGGTGGTGAGCGCGGTGGTGAGCGTGGTGGTGAGCGTGGTGGTGAGCGTGGTGGTGAGCGCGGTGGCGAGGGCGGTGGTGAGCGTGGTGGTGAGCGTGGTGGTGAGGGTGGTAGTGAGCGTGGTAGTGAACGTGGTGGTGAGCGTGGTGGTGAGGGTGGTGGTGAGTGTGGTAGTGAGTGTGGTGGTGAAGCGTGGTGGTGAGCGTGGTGGTGAGCGTGGTGGTGAGCGCGGTGGCGAGGGCGGTGGTGAGCGTGGTGGTGAGCGTGGTGGTGAGCGCGGTGGCGAGGGCGGTGGTGAGCGTGGTGAGCGTGGTGGTGAGCGCGGTGGTGAAGCGTGGTGGTGAGTGCGGTGGCGAGGGCGGTGGTGAACGTGGTAGTGAGCGTGGTGGTGAAGCGTGGTGGTGAGCGTGGTGGTGAGCGCGGTGGTGAGCGTGGTGGTGAGCGCGGTGGCGAGCGCGGTGGTGAGCGTGGTGGTGAGCGTGCCTCACCTCAGGTGGTCGAGGTCGTGGATGAGCGGGTGAGCGCGCGGTGAGGAGCGGTTCACGTCATGGTGCAGTCCGTCCAGCAGGAAGAGCAGGAACTCCTGAGCGTCGTGCTGACTGCAACAACGCAGAACACAAAGCTCCCCCAACAACAACAACAACAACAAGCGCCATTCGCCACTAAGTGGCGGCGGTGACGTCGCCACGGCACCCGTGCCAGGCCACGTGCACCTTGAGGCTACCACGTGAAGCGTCGAACGCCCGCCGGCACGAGGCCACGGGACAGACCCAGGTGGCGTGGGTCTACTGCTGCGCCAGGCTAGGTGCAGGAGGTCACGGGACAGACACAGGTGCTGTGAGTTGACCGAATGAAATGGCTGGCAGATGCACCACCTGTGCCCCCCCCCGCCACTGTGCCAAACTTACTGCACTTCAGCCGCCCGGCGCTCCGCTCGTTGTTCTGAGCAGGCGAGTGGTGAGCGAGTAACGTTGGCAGGCGAGCGAGTAGGTGGGTGAGTTGCTGTGCGAGCGAGTATGTGGGTGAGTTGTGAGTATACGAGCGAGTAGTTGTGGTGAGGGTGCTGGACTCCGAACCCGTCGACACGAGTTCGATTCCCGCTCACGGCCAAAACCAGCGACGGTTATCGGGATCCGCCCAGGGCCTCCCCCCTAGCCTCAAGCGAGTACCTGGTGTAGCGGTGCGTAGTGAACGTCGCCACTGGGGAGACAAAGGCGGAGCGGCGTGGTGCTGGCCTCCCACCCCCTCGTGTGCCGTGCACAGGCCTTCATAGGTGCTGCTCGCTAACAGCACTTGCCCCAACAGTCTGTTGACGCTATGCGGGGGAACTTTCCCTTCGAGTCGTGGGTGAGTAGATGAGTAGGTGAGCGAGTGGGTGAGCGAGTAGTGAGTGTGCAGCTGTGCGAGTGTGTAGGTGAGCGAGCGGGTGAGCGAGCGGGTGAGTGAGTGTGTAGCCGGGTGAGCGAGCGGGTGAGTGAGTGAGTGAGTGAGCGGGTGAGTGGGCGAGGGAGCGTGTGAGTGAGCGAGCGGGTGAGTGAGCGAGCGGATGAGTGAGTGAGCGAGCGGGTGAGCGAGCGGGTGAGTGAGTGAGCGAGCGGGTGAGCGAGCGGGTGAGTGAGTGGGTGAGGGAGCGTGTGACCGAGCGGGTGAGTGAGTGTGTAGCCGGGTGAGTGAGTGGGTGAGGGAGCGTGTGAGCGAGCGGGTGAGTGAGCGAGCGGGTGAGTGAGTATGTAGCCGGGTGAGCAAGCGGGTGAGGGAGTGTGTGAGTGAGCGGGTGAGTGAGTGAGCGAGCGGATGAGCGAGCGGGTGAGTGAGTGGGTGAGGGAGTGAGTGGGTGAGGGAGTGTGTGAGCGAGCGGGTGAGTGAGTGGGTGAGGGAGTGTGTGAGCGAGCGGGTGAGTGAGTGGGTGAGGGAGTGAGTGGGTGAGGGAGTGTGTGAGCGAGCGGGTGAGTGAGTGAATGAGCGGGTGAGTGAGTGTGTAGCCGGGTGAGTGAGTGAGTGACTGAGCGAGCGGGTGAGTGAGTGAGCGAGCGGGTGAGTGAGTGTGTAGCTGGGTGAGTGAGTGGGTGAGTGAGTGAGTGAGCGGGTGAGTGAGTGAGTGAGCGGGTGAGCGAGCGGGTGAGTGAGTGGGTGAGTGAGTGGGTGAGTGAGTGAGCGAGCGGGTGAGGGAGTGTGTGAGCGAGCGGGTGAGTGAGTGAGCGAGCGGGTGAGTGAGTGTGTAGCCGGGTGAGTGAGCGAGCGGGTGAGTGAGCGGGTGAGTGAGTGAGTGAGCGGGTGAGTGAGTGAGCGAGCGGGTGAGCGAGCGGGTGAGTGAGCGAGCGAGCGGGTGAGCGAGTGGGTGAGGGAGCGTGTGAGTGAGCGGGTGAGTGAGTCAGCGAGCGGGTGAGCGAGCGGGTGAGTGAGTGTGTAGCCGGGTGAGCGAGCGTGTGAGCGAGCGAGCGGGTGAGCGAGCGGGTGAGCAAGCGGGTGAGTGAGTGAGCGAGCGGGTGAGCGAGCGGGTGAGTGAGTGTATAGCCGGGTGAGCGAGCGAGCGGGTGAGTGAGCGGGTAAGCATGTGTGTGGGTGAGCGGGTGAGCGGATGAGCGGATGAGCGAGTGAGCAGGTGAGTGAGCGTGTGAGTGAGTGGGTGAGTGAGCGGGTGAGTGAGTGTGTAGCCGGGTGACTGAGCGGGTGAGCGAGCGGGTGAGCGAGCGGGTGAGTGAGTGTGTAGCCGGGTGAGTGTGTAGCCGGGTGAGTGAGTGGGCGAGGGAGCGAGTGAGCGAGCGGGTAAGTGAGTGAGCGACCTGGTGAGTGAGTGTGTAGCCGGGTGAGTGAGTGGGTGAGGGAGCGAGTGAGCGGGTGAGCGAGCGGGTGAGTGAGTGTGTAGCCGGGTGAGCGAGCGGGTGAGCGAGCGGGTGAGCGAGCGGGTGAGCGAGCGGGTGAGCGAGCGGGTGAGCGGGTGAGTGAGTGTGTAACCGGGTGAGGGAGCGTGTGAGCGAGCGAGCGGGTGAGCGAGCGGGTGAGCGAGCGGGTGAGCGAGCGGGTGAGTGAGCGAGCGGGTGAGTGAGTGGGTGAGGGAGCGTGTGAGTGAGCGGGTGAGTGAGTGTGTAGCCGGGTGAGCGAGTGGGCGAGGGAGCGTGTGAGTGAGTGGGTGAGTGGGTGTGTAGCTGGGTGAGTGAGTGGGCGAGGGAGCGTGTGAGTGAGCGAGCGGGTGAGTGAGCGAGCGGATGAGTGAGTGAGCGAGCGGGTGAGCGAGTGTGTAGCCGGGTGAGCGAGCGGGTGAGCGAGCGGGTGAGCAAGCGAGCGGGTGAGCGAGCGGGTGAGTGAGTGAGTGAGCGGGTGAGCGAGCGGGTGAGCGGTTAGTTTACCTGCCGCCCCCGAATCGGGGTGCATGTCTCTGCACCTGGGTGAGGAGTGATGAGGGGCGTGCGACGCTCCCCCCACTCCACAGCTCACGCAGGAGCAGCGCAAACGCTGAGCAGCAACAACAACAACAACAAAATGACACAACAACGTTAACAACATTACACAACAACATTACACAGCAAAAATAACACAACACCATCAAAAAACACCATTACACAACAACAGTGTAGTCTATAGTCGTGTATTGTAGTGTATAGTAGTGTAGCGCATAGCTTTCGCGACCAATATTATTCATAATGAAGGTTTTTGGGTTAGATCGCGTTAATTATAAATGTGTCGTAACCCTCCACCACCCGACACGGCCAATCGGCAAAAAAGTGTCACGTTGACAAAAGACAAAATAGTTCACTACTTTAGCCCACCGGTGTGTTGAAGAGTGAATCCACAACATTTACAGTTTGAGTAGCACGACGTTTCGCTGGTAATTACATCCAGCATCATCGGGCAATTCGCCAGAATGGTAAAGCCCTCTCCACTTGCTCCCGGTCTTTGAGATATAGAAAATAACTTTAATCGCTCTGACAGCTACAGGCTTAGTGCGGCTTGGAAGTGTATTATTAGATAATACACATTAAAATTCCTTATAGGGGAAACACATACTAATTGACGGATTACTAACGTAGCATGTAATCACAATAACACACATTGCAACTAATAACTAATCTACAACTCATTACTAATCATAACCATTGACTGATTAACAATCGATTATATAATTACAATACCCCCGCCCCTCCGCCTCAAATCACTGCACCTGAATGAGTTAAATGATGACGTCACCCTGCTGCTCTATTTAAGACCCAATTGGTGCTCGACCAGATGCCGCCAAAAGGCTCAAAAGAAAGCCGTCCCTTGGTGTGGACCAATCAGTTTCAAGGACAATGCATCATATTATCATAGTAGGTTTTTTGTTTGCATTTTGACTGCAGGTATTGTGGTTAATGCAGTAAACGTGAATCCTCGTAAAAAGGTTTCAGTTTTGTTGCCAGAAAAAAGGGGAAAAAAATCCCATTCATACACCCGGCGTCTTTTTAGGGCGCTCTCGCCGGAACCGTTAATCGCCGTCCAAACGCCACGGCACTCGGATTGGCAAACGCTGGAGCGGGTTCACTCTCCGACGCACGACCGGCCTGCGTGGGCTGCGTGTGGGCTGTAGCGACGCAATATTGTCCATCGTGCAGGGGGTTTGTCTGGGTTAAGGGCGCGTGAATGTAAAACGTGTCGTTAAACCCGCCACCGCCCGAATACGGCCAACTGGTAAGGGTTGCGTCACGTAAACAAAAACGTGGCCAATTCGTAGTGACAGGGGAGTCAACCTACGGTGGGAGTGGACTAGTGGCCACGGGAGGTAATGACAGGGGAATCAACATACGGTGGGAGTGGACTAGTGGCCATGGGAGGTAATGACAGGGGAATCAACCTACGGTGGGAGTGGACTAGTGGCCACGGGAGGTAATGACAAGGGAATCAACCTACGGTGCGTGTGGACTTATGGCCATGGAAGGAATTGACAGGGGAGTCAGCCTACAGTACGAAGGGACTGGTGGCTATGGGAGGTAATGACAGGGGAGTCACCCTGTACGAAGGGCCTGGTGGATAAGGGAGGTAATGGCAGGGGAGTTCACCTCCGGTGTGAGTGGACTAGTGGCCACGGGAGGTAATTACAAGGGAGTCAACCTATGGTGTGACTGGACTAGTGGCCACAGGAGGTAATGGCAGGGGAGTCAACCTATGGTGTGACTGGACTAGTGGCCATGGGAGGTAATGGCAGGGGAAGTCAACCTAAGTTGTGACTGGACTAGTGGCCACGGGAGGTAATGGCAGGGGAGTCAATCTACGGTGGGAGTGGACTAGTGGCCACAGGAGGTAATGACAGGGGAGTCAACCTACGGTGTGAGTGAACTAGTGGCCACAGGAAGTAATGACAGGGGAGTTAGCCTGCAGTACGAGTGGACTGGTGGCTGTTGGAATGATCGAGAATAGGAGTGTGGCCAGGTAACAGAAGAGGACGTTGGAGTCTGCTGGTGGAGTGAGCGGTCTAGAACCAGCGAGAAGGTTTGGGAACGGGGGCGTGGCCTCAGACCGTATATAAGGGAGATGCGTGGGAGACTCGGGGCTGTTGCAGTGGGGGTCTCCGTCTGTTTCCAGTGCGAGCACGCGGCTCCTTAATAAAAGAAGCCATCTCAAGGCAAGTGCTTCCAAGTCGCCATCACACTAGCACAGCACTAACCGGGCTGTGTGTTTTAGATGTCGTGGATTCACTCTCCAACACACAACCGGTTAGTGTGCTGAACCAGTAACTGATTGGCCACGTTTTGTTCACGTGACAAAACCCTCATTGATTGGCTGTGTCGGGTGATGGCGGGGTTGACGACACATTCATATTGGCGCGATCTAACCCAACAAAAAACTCTGCCATGAATAATGTTGCTCGTGAAAGCCTCGCACGCGTCAAACAATTTTGCACAACAACGTCACGACCACAACATTACGCAACACAAAGCAACATTAACGCAACATCACGACATTACACAGCACACGGCAACATCACGCACCGACATTGCACAATAACGCCGCAAAACCATCACACATTACACAACACCACACCACTTACACAACACCGCGACAACATTACACAACACGGCATTCCGTAACACCGCAGTATCTGAACTTATCCGTATGCATCAATAAGTGTCGGTACGTGTCGGCACGTATCCGTATCCACCCGTACGCATCTCCACGTGCCCGTACGTACGCGTAGGTTTGTGTTTGTATTACCGTGAGCGAGTGCCCCCTTGGTGGGGCTGTGCGGGTTCGTCTCCGACTCGTAGTCTCCGCACACGCAGTAGTCGCGCAGCGCCCGCGTGTGGCTCAAGCACTGCACGATGGAGTTCACAAAACACTGCACGCGCACGCACGCACACACACACACCCCAAACAAAGACAAAGGTCGCCCGCAATTAGCCTGTAACAAACTGTTGGGGCAAGCGCTGCAAGCGAGTAGCACCTATGAAGGCACGGCACGGGCGCACGAGGGGGGTGGGTGGCCAGCACCACGCCCGGCCGCTTTTCTCTCAGACACACACACACACACGAAAGACAAAGATCCCCCGCATATCCTGTAAGAGACCGTTGGGGCATGCGCTGTTAGCGAGTAGCAGCACCTATGAAGGCACGGCACGGGCGCACGAGGGGGGTGGGTGGCCAGCGCCACATCCGGCCACCTTTGTCTCCCCAGTGGCGATGTTTACTACGCACTTCACCAGGTACTCAAATTGAGGCCGAGTCGACTTAGAGGAGGCGGCCCAGGAATGGGTCAGATAATCGTCAGTGGTGTTGGTGGCCGAGAGTGGGAATCGAACTCGGGTTGCCGCCGAGTTCGTCACACACTGCACGCACCACACACAGAAGCAACACACGGACAAATGGTCACCGTGTAGCCTCAACACACGGTCGGGGCAAGTTCCGTTAGCGAGCAGCAGCGCCTGTGAAGGCCGGAAAGCACGGGCACACGAGGCCATGTGTTGGCCAGGACCATGCCTGCCCACCCGCCCGCCTTTGTCAACCCCCATTGGCGGTGTTCGCACACCGTACCGGGTACGCTCATGTGAGGCTGAGTCGACCTAGGGGAGGCCCAGGACCAGTTCAGATAATCGTCACCGGTGTTGGCCGTGAGCGGGAGTCGAACCCGGGTCTCTTCCGGGTTCGTAGCGTGGCACGATAACCGCCACCACTAACATACATCAACATACACTAACATACATCAACATACACTAACATACATCAACATACACTAACATACATCAACATACACTAACATACATCAACATACACTAACATACATCAACATACACTAACATACATCAACATACACTAACATACATCAACATACACTAACATACATCAACATACACTAACATACATCAACATACACTAACATACATCAACATACACTAACATACATCAACATACACTAACATACATCAACATACACTAACATACATCAACATACACTAACATACATCAACATACATCAACATACATCAACATACATCAACATACACTAACATACATTAACATACACTAACATACATCAACATACACTAACATACAGCAACATACACTAACATACGTCAACATACACTAACATACACAGGCATGTCCCCAGTATACTCACACGCAAAGATAAAGATCCACCCTATGCCATTGACAGACTTGTTGGGGCAAGTGTTGTGATGACTTTATTGATGTTGATGACAGTTGTGATGATGATGATGATATTGTTGATGTTGACGATTATGATGGCGATGTTAATGATGCTAATGATGCTAATGATGATGGTGATGTGGATGTAGGCGACGACGATGATGATGTCGGTGAAGATTATTACGTTGATGACGACGATGATGCCGATTCATAATAAAGGTTTTTGGGTTAGATCGCGTTATTTATAATTGTGTCGTAACCCTCCACCACCCGGCACGGCCAAACAGTAAAAAAAGTGTCACGTTTACAAAGGACAAAAAGTTCACTGCTTTAGCCCACCGGTGTGTTGAAGAGTGAATCCACAACATTTACAGTTTGAGTAGCACGACGTTTCGCTGGTAATTACATCCAGCATCATCGGGCAATTCGCCAGAATGGTAAAGCCCTCTCCACTTGCTCCCGGTCTTAAATAGAGCAGCAGGGTGACGTCATCATTTAACTCATTCAGGTGCAGTGATTAGAGGCGGAGGGGGGGGTATTGTAATTATATAATCGATTGGTAATCAGTCAATGTTTTCGATTTAAAGCTTTCGTGACTGCAATGATTCATCTTCTTTGGTTCTTTCGGTAAAGTCACGTAGAATGAGAATAAAATAATAAATTTATAAAATAAAATAACACAATAATATTCTCACGACGTTTCGGCCACAACACAAGCGGCCTTCATCACTCCAGCGCTGTCCTACCAGACAGTCTCGTCCCTTCACCTGATGAAGGCCGCTTGTGTTGTGGCCGAAACGTCGTGAGAATATTATTGTGTTATTTTATTTTATCAATTTATTATTTTATTCTCATTCTACGTGGTGACTTTACCGAAAGAACCAAAGAAGATGAATCAGTCAATGGTTATGATTAGTAATGAGTTGTAGATTAGTAATTAGTTGCAATGTGTGTTATTGTGATTATATGCTACGTTAGTAATCTGTTAATTAGTATGTGTTTCCCTGATAAGGTATTGTAATATGTATTATCTAATAATACACTTCCAAGCCGCACTAAGCCTGTAGCTGTCAGAGCGATTAAAGTTATTTTCTATTTCTCTAAGACCGGCAGCAAGTGGAGAGGGCTTTACCATTCTGGCAAATTGCCCGATGATGCTGGATGTAATTACCAGCGAAACGTCATAGTACTCAAATTTTAAATGATGTTGATTCACTCTTCAACACACCGGTGGGCTAATGTAGTGAACTATTTGTCTTTTGTAAACGCGACACTTTTTTTTACTGTTTGGCCATGTCGGGTGGTGGAGGGTTAGGACACATTTATAAATAACGCGATCTAACCCAAAAACCTTCATTATGAATAATATTGGTCGCGAAAGCCTACGTGTTAAACTGATGATGCTGATTTTAATTTTTGATTTAAAGCTTTCGTGACTGCAGTAATTCATATTCTTAGTTTTTTCGGTAAAGTCACGTTGAAGAGAAACAACAGAATAACAAAATATATATAAAACAATAAAAAATTCTCACGACGTTTCGACCATAACTCAAACGGTCATCATGGTCGAAACGTCGTGAGAATTTTTTATTGTTTTATATATATTTTGTTATTCTGTTGTTTCTCTTCAACGTGACTTTACCGAAAAAACTAAGAATATGATGATGCTGATGTTAATCGAAACGTCGTGAGAATTTAATTGTGTTATTTTATTATTTTATTCTCATTCTCCGTGACTTTACCGAAAGAACCAAAGAAGATGTTAATCATGTTAATGGTGGTGTTGGTGATTATGTTGATGATGATGATGTCGATAATGATGATGTCTCACCGTATTCCCCAGATTCTCCAGGCCCGTGAGTCCAGATTTGGCTGAGAACTGCACCTACGTGGGAAACATCGAGACGTCATTCCACAAACGGCTTCACTCCGTCTCCCCTCCGCGTCTCCCTCTGTCCGTCTCCCTGTCTATCGATGCGTCTCTCCTTGTCCCTGTCCTGTCTGTGCGCGTCTCCCTGTCCATCCACGTGGATGAGTGGGTGAGTAAATTCGTTGGTGAGCGTATTAGAGGATGAGTGAGTGGGTGGGTGGATGAATGGGTGGGTGGATGAATGAGTTTTTTTAGTGGGTGGTGAGCGAGTGGGTGGTTGGGTGGGTGAGTAAGTAGTGGATGAGTGAGTGGGTGGATGAATGAGTATATTCGAGGGTGAGTGAGTGGGTGGATGGGTGAGTATATTAGTGGATCAATAAGTATATTAGTGGGTGGTTGGGTGAGTATATTCGTGGGTGAGTGAGTGGGTGGATGGGTGAGTATATTAATGGATCAATAAGTATATTAGTGTGTGGTTGGGTGAGTATATTCGTGGGTGAGTGAGTGGGTGGATGGGTGAGTATATTAGTGGATCAATAAGTATATTAGTGGGTGGTTGGGTGAGTATATTCGTGGGTGAGTGGGTGGGTGGATGGTTGAGTATATTAGCGAGTGAGCAAGTGGGTGGATTAGTGAGTATATTAGCGGGTGAGTGAGTGAGTGGGTGGATAGGTGAGCATATTAGTGGGTGAGTGGGTGGGTGGATGGGTGAGTATAATAGTTGATCAATAAGTATATTAAAGTGGGTGGTTGGGTGTGTATATTCGTGGGTGAATGAGTATATTCGTGGGTGAGTGGGTGGGTGGATAGGTGAGCATATTAGTGGGTGAGCAAGTGGGTGGATTGGTGAGTATATTAGCGGGTGAGCGAGTGGGTGGGTGGATGAGTGGGTGGGTGGATGAGAGGGTGGGTGGATGAGTGGGTGGGTGGATGGGTGGGTGGATGAGTGGGTGGGTGGGTGGGCGAGCGAATGAGTGATCGGGTGGGCGAGCGATCGCGCGATTGAGCGAGTGAGCGACACCACCAGGATCCCACCACGCCCCCCCCACCGCACCCTCTCCCCCCCCCCCACCCTCTCCCGCCCCCCCCCCCACCGCACCCTCTCCCGCGTCTTCCTCCCCTGCGCGGGCGCCACCGTCATGCCCACGAGCGCCGAGCACAGCACCGACTGGGCCACCTTGGCGTGCCCCGCCGTCACGCGCGCCAACCACGGCGCCCACATTCCCTCCCCGCCGCCGTGGCCGCCGTGGCCCACGTGACCCACGTGGCCCACGTGACCCACGTGACCCACGTGGCCCACGTGACCCACGTGACCCATGTGACCCACGTGACCCACGTGACCGCCGCCAGCCAACAGCCGCCGGGGGGACAGCACCGCCACCACGGCGCCCCGGCCGCAGCAGCAGCAACCGCTCGCCGCGTCAAACGCAACTCGCATCCTCCTCCTGCCGTCTCCCGTGGTCAAAATCCGGTGTTCAGATCTCGTGCTAAAATCACGTGGTCCAGAGCCGGCGGCGTCCAGATCACGTGGTACAGATCCGGTGTCCAGTTCCCGTGGTCCAAATCCCGTCTTCAAATCCCGCCGTCCAGATCCCGCGGTCCAGATCTCGTGGTCAGATCCCGTGTCCAAATCCCGTCTTCAAATCTCGTGCTCCAGATCCCGCGGGTCCAGATCCCGCGGTCCAGATGCCGTGTTCAAATCTCGTTCAAATCACGTGGTCCAGATTCCGTGTCCAGATCCCGAGTTCAAATCCCGTCTTCAAATCCCGTCTTCAAATCTCGTGCTCCAGATCCCACGGTCCAGATCCCGCGGTCCAGATCCCGCGGTCCAGATCCCGTGTTCAAATCTCGGTCAAATCCCGTGGTCCAGATTCCGTGTCCAGATCCCGAGTTCAAATCCCGTCTTCAAATCCCGTCTTCAAATCTGGTGCTCCAGATCCCACGGTCCAGATCCCGCGGTCCAGATCCCGCGGTCCAGATCCCGTGTTCAAATCTCGGTCAAATCCCGTGGTCCAGATTCCCGCGGGGTCCAAATCCCGCAGGGGGTCCGGATCCCGTGTCCCGACAGAGTCACTGTACACCAACGCGCCGGTAATGATCCAACGGTGCTTTTTGGCGGTCGGTAAGTCCGGAACAAATCTAAAAAGAACGTGTCAATGCGTGTGTGTGTGTGTGTATATATACACACACACTAACACGCACACGCACCGAGCGAGCAGCTCCACCCCCGGCTGTGGAACGGACGCAAGGGCCCTGCATTGGCCCAGCGAGGATCGTAAGGCGGTCCGGACCACTACTGCCGTCGGGGGGGGGGGGTGGTGGTGGTGGTGAAGATTATCCAACGGAGCAGGGCGCAGGGGCGGTCCGCCAAGTCAACGTCGTCCCCCTCCTTGTGGTGGTGGTGGCTGCAGGTGGACTCGTCCCGACGGGTCACCGCCAGACGGCTCGCTCGCTCTGCCGCGCCAACGGGGCGATGTCGCCTCGACTCGAGCCGCGCTTTTCCCGCGTTGGGTTCACGAAAATGTTAAACACGTAGTAAAGCGGGCTCTCGCGGCCAGTGTCATTCGTGAACACGAGAGAAATTATTTTTTTTTGGGGGTTAGATCGATGGCGGGGGTTTTTTTTTTTAGCAGCGTCGAATCAAAATGTTACGAAAAAAAGTTTCTCGTCCGTAGAACGTCGCTCTCTCTGTCTCTGTGTCTCTCTGTGTGTCTCTCTGTGTCTCTCTCTCCGTCTCTCTCTCCGTCTCTCTCTCTGTCTCTCTCTCTGTCTCTCTGGCTCTCTCTGTCTCTCTCTCTGTCTCTCTCTCTGTCTCTCTCTCTGTCTCTCTCTCTGTCTCTCTCTCTGTCTCTCTCTGTCTGGCTCTCTGTCTGTCTGGCTCTCTGTCTGTCTGTCTTTCCGTGTCTCGCGGTCGCTCTAACAATCGTCCCTCTGTAGTATCTCTCCGTCTCGCTCAGTCTTAACTGTGGGTGTCTCTCTGTGTCAAGTACTTACGTGGTCTAACCCAAAAACCTTGCTTATGGAAAAAAAAGAAGCTTCACAGCTCATCGGATTTCCCCTCCGGTATAAACAAATATTCTGATTTTATATTTTAAATTCAAGCGGGCAGCTCCGACATCCGACGCGCCGACGGGCACGCGTTAAAAGCAAATGAAACGCGAGAAAAAATTTCCGCTAAACTTTGAAACGCCACGGCTTAATCCTGTCGGGCGTGGGCGCGAAGGCTACGCCCGATGTATTTCGGCCGCACCATCACCACCGGGAGGAATTAAGCAAAGCTTAGGGGGAATTAAAGACACTGTACTCGGGACGCAAGATCGCGATATAAAATTTCGAATTGTCGGAAACGCCGGTGGGCAGGTTTTTCTTTTTTAGCGTCGAGTAAAAATGTTTAAAAAGAAAAAGTTATCTCGTGCGTAGAACGTCGCTCGGTCCATCTGTCTCGCTCTCTCTCTCTGTCTCTCTGTCTCGCTCTCTCTCTCTCTCTCTGTCTCGCTCTCTCTGTCTCTCTCTCTCTGTGTCTCTCTCTCTCTCTCTGTCTCGCTCTCTGTCTCTCTCTCTCTCTCTGTCTCTGTCTCGCTCTCTGTCTCTCTCTCTCTCTCTCTGTCTCTCTCTCTCTCTGTCTCTCTCTCTGTCTCTCTCTCTCTGTCTCGCTCTCTGTCTCTCTGTCTCGCTCTCTCTCTGTCTCTCTGTCTCTCTGTCTCGCTCTCTCTGTCTCTCTCTCTGTCTCGCTCTCTCTCTGTCTCTCTCTCTCTGTCTCGCTCTCTGTCTCTCTGTCTCGCTCTCTCTGTCTCGCTCTCTCTCTGTCTCTCTCTCTCTGTCTCGCTCTCTGTCTCTCTGTCTCGCTCTCTCTGTCTCGCTCTCTCTCTGTCTTGCTCTCTCTGTCTCTCTCTCTCTCTCTCTGTCTCGCTCTCTCTGTCTCTGTCTCTCTCTCTGTCTCTCTCTCTCTGTCTCTCTCTCTCTGTCTCGCTCTGTCTCTCTCTCTGTCGCTCTCCGTCTCTATCTGTCTCTCTCCGTCTCGCTCTCTCTGTCTCTCTCTCTTTGTTTTACCATCAGAGGAAACAAGAAGATGCTCGGTGTAGTCGGCACTTTGCTCCGTTCATTATGTCGTTTTTTAGTGCTTTGCTTTATGTAACCCCCCCCCCCCACCTTTAAATGAAAGACCCAACAAAATATTTTTTTCCCGCTCTCCTTTCTCTCTCTGTCGCTCTCTCTCTGTCTCTCTCTCTCTGTGTCCGTCTGTGTCTCACGATCGCTCTTAGAACCGTCTCTCCGTCTCGCTCAGTCTTAACTGTGCCGCTCTCTCAGTCTCAATTTTGTCCGTCTCTCTCTCTCTTTCGCTCTCCGTGTCCCGGTCTTCCGCTGTGTCTGTCTCCTTTACCGTCCTCTCCGTCTCTCTCGGTCTTAACATTTGTGTGTGCGTGCGTGCGTGTCTCACTCCCTCCGTCTCACTCCCTCCGTCTCACTCCCTCCGTCTCTCTCCCTCCGTCTCTCTCCCTCCGTCTCACTCCCTCCGTCTCAATCCCTCCGTCTCTCTCCCTCCGTCTCTCTCCCTCCGTCTCACTCCCTCCGTCTCACTCCCTCCGTCTCTCTCCCTCCGTCTCTCTCCCTCCGTCTCTCTCCCTCCGTCTCTCTCTCTCCGTCTCTCTCCCTCCGTCTCTCTCCCTCCGTCTCTCTCGCTCCGTCTCACTCCCTCCGTCTCTCTCCCTCCGTCTCTCTCCCTCCGTCTCTCTCCCTCCGTCTCTCTCCCTCCGTCTCACTCCCTCCGTCTCTCTCCCTCCGTCTCTCTCCCTCCGTCTCAATCCCTCCGTCTCTCTCCCTCCGTCTCACTCCCTCCGTCTCTCTCCCTCCGGCTCTCTCCCTCCGTCTCACTCCCTCCGTCTCAATCCCTCCGTCTCTCTCCCTCCGTCTCTCTCCCTCCGTCTCACTCCCTCCGTCTCACTCCCTCCGTCTCTCTCCCTCCGTCTCTCTCCCTCCGTCTCTCTCTCTCCGTCTCTCTCCCTCCGTCTCTCTCCCTCCGTCTCTCTCCCTCCGTCTCACTCCCTCCGTCTCTCTCCCTCCGTCTCTCTCCCTCCGTCTCTCTCCCTCCGTCTCACTCCCTCCGTCTCTCTCCCTCCGTCTCTCTCCCTCCGTCTCAATCCCTCCGTCTCTCTCCCTCCGTCTCACTCCCTCCGTCTCACTCTCTCCGTCTCTCTCCCTCCGTCTCACTCCCTCCGTCTCACTATCTCCGTCTCTCTCCCTCCGTCTCACTCCCTCCGTCTCTCTCGCTCCGTCTCTCTCCCTCCGTCTCTCTCCCTCCGTCTCACTCCCTCCGTCTCTCTCCCTCCGTGTCTCTCCCTCCGTCTCTCTCCGTCTCAGCGAACTCTGACCACTCTCTCCGCCAACGTTCCCTTCCCTCCTTCTCAACCCCGCTGAGGGCCGCTCACGCTACCCACAAACCTCACTCAACACAACAACCAACAAAAAACACGGACGCACACACACGGACGCACACACACGCACAAGCGCGCGCACGAGACTCCAAAGGAACTCCACAGATTTACGCCCGTCAATCCACAAACAGACAACAACAACAACAAGCGGAACAAGCCACGCTAAAAACAACAGCGACAACAACCGCTGCCCTACACCTCAACTCGAAATATAAATTCACGTTTGCCATAAAACCGCAGCGGTGACGGTGGCGGTGACGGCGCCGTTGGGTTCTTAGCCGCGATAATTGCTCCTAAAACGAGGACGATGATGATGATGGTGGTGGTGGTTACGATGATGACGGTGGTGGTGGTGGTTATGATGACGGCGTCGGCGATGACGAAGCGAGCGTTGTTTTCGAAATCCGGGGGCTGGTGTCGCCCGACAAACAACAACAGCAGCGAGGTGCGTGACTGAGTGTGTGTGACGGTGTGTGTGATGGTGTGTGTGATGGTGTGTGTGTGATGGTGTGTGTGTGATGGTGTGTGTGTCATGGTGTGTGTGTGACTGTGTGTGTTATGGTGTGTGTGTGTGTGACTGAGTGTGTGTGTGTGACTGAGTGTGTGTTATGGTGTGTGTGTGTGTGTGTGACTGAGTGTGTGTTATGGTGTGTGTGTGATGGTGTGTGTGTGACTGTGTGCGTGACTGTGATGGTGTGTGTGATGGTGTGTGTGATGGTGTGTGTGTGATGGTGTGTGTGTGTGTGACTGTGTGTGTTATGGTGTGTGTGTGACTGTGTGTGTGATGGTGTGTGTGTGACTGAGTGTGTGTCATGGTGTGTGTGTGTGACTGAGTTTGTGTGATGGTGTGTGTGTGATGGTGTGTATGTGACTGTGTGCGTGACTGTGATGGTGTGTTTGATGGTGTGTGTGATGGTGTGTGTGTGATGGTGTGCGTGACTGTGTGACCGGATGTGTGACTGTGTGTGTGACTGTGTGTGTTATGGTGTGTGTGTGACTGAGTTTGAGTGATGGTGTGTGTGATGGTGTGTGTGTGACTGTGTGCATGACTGTGATGGTGTGTGTGATGGTGTGTGTGTGTGATGGTGTGTGTGTGATGGTGTGTGTGTGTGATGGTGTGTGTGACTGTGTGCGTGACTGTGTGCGTGACTGTGATGGTGTGTGTGATGGTGTGTGTGATGGTGTGTGTGTGACTGTGTGTGTGACTGTGTGCGTGACTGTGTGACCGGATGTGTGACTGTGTGTGTGACTGTGCGCGTGATGGTGTGTGTGACTGTGTGTGTGATGGTGTGTGTGTGATGGTGTGTGTGTGATGGTGTGTGTGACTGTGTGCGTGACTGTGTTTGTGTGATGGTGTGTGTGTGACTGTGTGTGTGATGGTGTGTGTGTGATGGTGTGTGTGACTGTGCACGCGATGGTGTGTGTGTGACTGTGTGCGTGACTGTGTGCGTGACAGTGTGTGTGAGTGTGACTGTGTGTGTGACTGTGTGCGTGACAGTGTAACCGTGTGTGTGACTGTGTGTGTGACTGTGCGCGTGATGGTGTGTGTGTGACTGTGTGCGTGATGGTGTGTGTGATGGTGTGTGTGACTGTGTGTGATGGTGTGTGTGTGACTGTGTGTGTGATGGTGTGTGTATGATGGTGTGTGTGTGTGATGGTGTGTGTGTGACTGTGCGTGTGATGGTGTGTGTGTGATGGTGTGTGCGTGATGGTGTGTGTGTGTGATGGTGTGTGCGTGATGGTGTGTGTGTGATGGTGTGTGTGTGACTGTGCGTGTGATGGTGTGTGTGTGTGATGGTGTGTGTGTGATGGTGTGTGTGTGATGGTGTGTGTGTGACTGTGTGTGTGATGGTGTGTGTGTGATGGTGTGTGTGTGACTGTGTGTGTGATGGTGTGTGTGTGATGGTGTGTGTGTAATGGTGTGTGCGTGATGGTGTGTGCGTGATGGTGTGTGCGTGATGGTGTGTGCGTGACTGTGTAACCGGGTGTGTGGCTCCTGCTATCCCGGTGCTCACCTGCCGACCGCCACCACCGCCACCGCCACCACCACCGTCTTCACTCTTGTCATCGTCAACCTCCTCCTCCTCGTCAATTTCCTCGCCACAGAAACCGTTCGGGCTCAGTCTGTGCTGCTTCTGCTGCGGCTGCTGCTTCTGCTGCTGCTTCTGCTGCTTCAACTGCTTCTGCTGCCGCTTCTCAAGCTGCTGCTTCTGCTGGATCAACTCCTGCTTTTTCTCCTCCATCTGCTGCCTTTTCTTCCTCTGCTGCCTCTCCTGCTGCTCCTGTTTCTCCTGCTGCTGCCGCTCCTCCTCCTCCTCCTGCTGCTTCTTACGCTGCTGCTGCTGCTGCAGCAGAGAGAGCGACAGCCTCCCCACGCCCTTGCCCACCTCGTCAGATTCCGCGCACTCCCCTCGTCTCCTCCTCCTCCTCCTCCTGGCCCTCGCTCCGCCGTGACCCGCGACGCCGCCGCTGTTGGTGCCGCTGGGCCGGGTCGGTGAATCGTCGGAGGAGATGGACCACGACGAGGAGGAGGAGGAGGAGTCGCCGTCCGTCTCCGGGGAGGCGAGGGAAGCGCCAGCGATGATCACCACCGGACCAGCCGGCGTGACGCCTACCGGGGACACAAGCGGTGCGGCGGGGAGATGTTAACTACCTCGCCTGGTACGCAGGAGGTCGTGGGGTTCGATCCCGACCCTGACGCCGCCTGCTGCTGTATATTTGGAGTCTGCGTGTCTCTCTCTCATCATCATCATCACGGTGGCTAGGAGATGTTAACTACCTCGCCTGGTACGCAGGAGGTCGTGGGTTCGATCCCGACCCTGACGCCGCCTGCTGCTGTATATTTGGAGTTTGCGTGTCTCTCTCTCATCATCATCACGGTGGCTAGGAGATGTTAACTACCTCGCCTGGTACGCAGGAGGTCGTGGGTTCGATCCCTCTCATCATCATCACGGTGGCTAGGAGATGTTTACTACCTCGCCTGGTCTACAGGAGGTCGTGGGGTTCGATCCCGACCTTGCCGCCTGCTGCTGCTGCTGTACATTCGGAGTTTGCGTGTCTCTCTGTCTCTCTGTCTCTCTCTCTCTCTCCCCGTGGTCGCGCGTCGATTTTTCTCCGGCTCCTCCGGTTTCCCCCCCGCCCCCCCCCCCCCCCCCCGCATTTAGAATCAACGTCATCAGGCGTTCAGAGCATTTGCTGCCACACATTGCCACGTGACGATGATGATGATGATGATGATAATCCCACTCGGTGAGGAGCTGTCATTTGTCACAGCCAGGGAGCTACGTTGCAGCACAGTGGGGTCTCGCCCGCCGGTAAAATAACAAAAAACTAAGTTCAGTTCGTAGTTTTAAGCGGGTGCCGAAAGAAGATGGATTTTTTTTTTTTTCCCCCGACGGACGCATCGTCCCACGGGCAGAGGTGGTCGAGACATCGGCGCGGTTGCGCTCCCAACAAAGCGGTACCTATTTTATCCACCCCTCCAGAGGTGGGTGTGGAGGGGGGGGGGGGGGGGAGAGCGGGGGTGATTGGCAAGCTGATGAACGCGAGGTTGGTTAATAGGCCGCGATGATTGCCGGGCTAGGTGCACGAGGTCACGGGACAGACCCAGCCGGTGCCATGGTGTGACTGCTGTGCCGGGCTAGGTGCACGAGGTCACGGGACAGACCCAGCCGGTGCCATGGTGTGACTGCTGTGCCGGGCTAGGTGCACGAGGTCACGGGACAGACCCAGCCGGTGCCATGGTGTGACTGCTGTGCCGGGCTAGGTGCACGAGGTCACGGGACAGACCCAGCCGGTGCCATGGGTTGACTGCTGTGCCGGGCTAGGTGCACGAGGTCACGGGACAGACCCAGCAGGTGCCATGGGTTGACTGCTGTGCCGGGCTAGGTGCACCAGGTCACGGGACAGACCCAGCCAGTGCCATGGGTTGACTGCTGTGCCAGGCTAGGTGCAGGAGATCACGGGACAGACCCAGGTGTGGGTTAGACGTTAATCACCACCATCACTACCATGAACTCTACTTGACCACAACCACCACCCCGACCAGCAACTCCACCGCCATCATTACCAAAACTACTACCACCACCACAAGCATCAACACCACTACCTCCACCACCATCATTACCTAAACCACCACCACCACTACAATCATCAGCAACACCAACGCCACTACCTCCACCACCAACACCATCACCACGTTCATTAACCACCACTACCACATTCATCACCACCGTAACTCCCATCATTACCTGCACTACCATCACCACCACCAAAGACAACACCACTTCCACCACAAACAACAACCACACCTCCACCACCACCACAATCTTCAACACCACCATCACTAAATATAGCAGCTCCACCACCACTACCATCACCACCGCAACTTTCACCCAAAACAACAACACCACCTCCACTACTACCTTCAACATCACCACCACCACAATCTTCACCACCACCACCACCAATACCATCACTACCTCCACCACCTCCACCACTACCTTCAACATCACCACCACCACCACAATCTTCACCACCACCAATACCATCACTACCTCCACCACCTCCACCACTACCTTCAACATCACCACCACCTTCACCACCACCACCTACAACCTTCACCCCAAACAACACCACCACCTCCATCACCTCCGAGTGCCGTGATGAGCGTCACCGTCGTTGCTGCCGCAGCCGCCGCCAGCCGCTCGTGTCCACGCGGCACAGACGCAGTCCCAGAGGTCCTGGCGCCGCCGACGGCGCCGCCGCTGCCGACGGCGCAACCGAAACCGCCGCCGACACCGCCGCCGCGCCGTTTCTCATCTCCCGTCGACGCCCTCAACTTTCCTCTCCTCTCTCCCCTTCCCTCCTCCTCCTCCTCTTCCTCACCGGCCACGAGCATTGCCGCCGCCGCCGCCGCCGCCGCCGGCCCCCCGTACGGTTTCACCGCCTTCACCGGGCCGCCCGACGCCACAGCAACCGCCCCCTCCCCCACGCCGGCCGTGCGTCGCCGGACGAGGGGGCGGCCCCTCGCGTCCAGCGGCCCCGGGCCCGGCGGCAAGAGGCGGCGGTGGCGGTGGCCGCCGGCGTCGGCGTCGCCGGGCGTCGCGGCGGCGGCGACGGGGGCGCGGTAGATTCGGCCAAGTGACACGGACCTGTGGGGGGGGGGGGGGGGGGGTAGCGACGTGAACAAAGACGGCGGTCAGCACGCCGTGCTGCTTTTCCGCGGCCGTCTGGAACGCTCTGCCTGCCGATGTTAGGAAGCCGCTGAGGGCCGTGCGCTTTAAATCGCCTCCGCTGACAAAATCGCTTCCCGAAGACTGCTTTTTGTTGCAGTGTTCAGCAGACCCACGTACGCAGACTGAGGCTGTCTGTTTGCCTGTCCGTCCGTTCAGCTGCCTGTGTCTGCCTGCCTGTCTGTGCCCGAGTCTGTCCGCCCGCCTGTGCACCTGCCTGTCTGTCCGTCCGTCCATCCGTCTGCAAGCGAGCGAGCGAGCGAGAGAGTTAGCGAGCGAGTTGGCGAGCGAGAGAGCGAGCGAGAAAATCGGCGAGCGAGCGAGCGAGAGAGTTAGCGAGCGAGTTGGCGAGCGAGCGAGAGAGCGCGCGAGAAAATCGGCGAGCGAGCGACGGAGCGAGCGAGCGAGAGAGCTAGGGAGCGACGGAGCGAGCGAGTGAGCGAGCGAGAGAGCTAGCGAACGAGTTAGCGAGCGAGAAAATCAGCGAGCGAGCGAGAGAGTTGGCGAGCGACGGAGCGAGCGAGAAAATCAGCGAGCGGGCGAGAGCTGACGAGCGACGGAGCGAGCGAGAAAATCAGCGAGCGGGCAAGAGAGCTAGCGAGCGACGGAGCGAGCGACCGAGAGAGCGACCGAGAGAGCTAGCGAACGAGTTAGCGAGCGAGAAAATCAGCGAGCGAGTGAGAGAGTTGGCGAGCGACGGAGCGAGCGAGAAAATCAGCGAGCGGGCGAGAGCTGGCGAGCGACGGAGCGAGCGAGCGACTCACCTGTGCTCGGGGCGATACTCGGCCGCTGGCACCGCGAGCTTGGACTTCCCCAGGCGATGGTGCGATGACTTCCCTCCTCCCGCCGCCGCCGCCCCTGCGGCCGCCCTCGCCGCCGCCCCCGGCGCCGCTGCTGCATTGGAGGTGGAGGGCGTGGGCTCCGAGGCCGTCTTCTGGGACGAGGATGACGACGAGGAGGTGGAGGACGGAGAGCGCTTCATGGCGCGGTCGCTCACGGCCATCGACTGCTCGGGCGCAGAGAGAGGGGGAATGTGGAGAGAGGGAGGGAGAGGGGCAGAGAGAGAGAGAGAGAGAGACAACGAGAGAGAGGGAGAGTGACGCAGACAGACAGATAGACAGAGAGAAAGGGGCAGAGAGAGACACAGAGAGAGGGAGAGTGACGGAGAGAGACAGAGAGAGACGGAGAGAGATGGAGAGTGACGCAGACAGACAGACAGATAGAGAGACAGATAGACAGAGAGAAAGGGGCAGAGAGAGAAACACAGAGAGAGAGAGGGCGAGAGATGGAGAGTGACGGAGAGAGACAGAGAGACAGAGAGACAGATAGACAGAGAGAAAGGGGCAGAGAGAGACACACAGAGAGGGAGAGTGACGGAGAGAGACAGAGAGAGAGGGAGAGAGATGGAGAGTGACGCAGACAGACAGAGAGACAGATAGACAGAGAGAAAGGGGCAGAGAGACTATCTACGTGAGTCTATGGGACTAAACACGAGTCTACAGGTCTCTATGGGAGTCTCTGGGTCTCTACGTGAGTCTATGGAACTAAACACGAGTCTACGGGTCTCTATGGGAGTCCCTGGGTCACTACGTGAGTCTATGGGACTAAACACGAGTCTACAGGTCTCTATGGGAGTCCCTGGGTCTCTACGTGAGTCTATGGAACTAAACACGAGTCTACGGGTCTCTATGGGAGTCCCTGGGTCACTACGTGAGTCTATGGGACTAAACACGAGTCTACAGGTCTCTATGGGAGTCCCTGGGTCTCTACGTGAGTCTATGGAACTAAACACGAGTCTACGGGTCTCTATGGGAGTCCCTGGGTCACTACGTGAGTCTATGGGACTAAACACGAGTCTACAGGTCTCTATGGGAGTCCCTGGGTCTCTACGTGAGTCTATGGGACTAAACACGAGTCTATGGGTCTCTATGGGAGTCCCTGGGTCTCTACGTGAGTCTATAGAACTAAACACGAGTCTTTGGGTCTCTATGGGAGTCCCTCGGTCTCTACGCGAGTCTATGGGACTAAACACGAGTCTACGGGTCTCTATGGGAGTCTCTGGGTCTCTACGTGAGTCTATGGGACTAAACACGAGTCTACGTGTCTCTATGGGAGTCTCTGGGTCTCTACGTGAGTCTATTGGACTAAACACGAGTCTACGGGTCTCTGTGGGAGTCCCTGGGTTCTACGTGAGTCTATGGGACTAAACACGAGTCTACGGGTCTCTATGGGAGTCTCTGGGTCTCTACGTGAGTCTATGGAACTAAACACGAGTCTACGGGTCTCTATGGGAGTCTCTGGGTCTCTACGTGAGTCTATGGGACTAAACACGAGTCTACGTGTCTCTATGGGAGTCTCTGGGTCTCTACGTGAGTCTATGGGACTAAACACGAGTCTACGGGTCTCTGTGAGAGTCCCTGGGTTCTACGTGAGTCTAAGGGACTAAACACGAGTCTACGGGTCTCTATGGGAGTCCCTGGGTCTCTACGTGAGTCTATGGGACTAAACACGAGTCCACGGGTCTCTATGGGAGTCTCTGGGTCTCTACGTGAGTCTATGGGACTCTATGGGAGTCTCTGGGTCTCTATGGGAGTCTCTGGGTCTCTACGTGAGCCTATGGGACTAAACACGAGTCCACGGGTCTCTATGGGAGTCCCTGGGTCTCTACGTGAGTCTATGGGACTATATACGAGTCTACGGGTGTTGATTTATGACCATCAACTCACAACACGTGAGAACACCGGTCTAATCACGGGCACCTGAGATTCCAGATTGGAACCTAGAGTGTCAGTGGATACCAGACTCAAGTATCCCTAACCTTTGAGAGAGAGAGAGCCATCGCAAACTCCAAATATAAGGCAGGCATCAGGGTTGAACCTACGACCTCCTGTATACCAGGCGAGGCAGTTAACATCTCACCACTGTGATGATAATGAAAGAGACACGCAAACTCCAAATATACAGGTGTCAGGGTCGGGATCGAACCCACGACCTCCTGCACATCCGGCGAGGGAGTCAAGATCTCCTAGCCACCGTGGTGATGACGATGAGAGAGAGAGAGACGCAAACGCCAAATATACAGCAGCAGACGTCAGGGTCGGGATAGAACCCACGACCTCCTGTAGACCAGGCGAGGTAGTTAACATCTCCTAGCCACCGTGATGATGATGAGAGAGACACGCAAACGCCAAATATACAGCAGCAGGCGTCAGGGTCGGGATAGAACCCACGACCTCCTGTAGACCAGGCGAGGTAGTTAACATCTCCTAGCCACCGTGATGATGATGAGAGAGAGATAGAACCCACGACCTCCTGTACACCAGGCGGCGTAGTTAACATCTCCTAGCCACCGTGATGATGATGAGAGAGGGATAGAACCCACGACCTCCTGTACACCAGGCGGCGTAGTTAACATCTCCTAGCCACCGTGATGATGAGAGAGAGATAGAACCCACGACCTCCTGTATACCAGGCGAGGGAGTTAACATCTCATAGCCACCGCTGCGCCCCTGTGAATCGGCAGGTCGCGTGCGGTGGGGCTAAGGCGTCGGTACACCCCAACCACTTGTGAGGAGGTACGAGATGGAGACCTCTTTCCACCAACAGTGGCGTTGGCGGGGGGGAGACAAAGTTGTAGGGGTCTGAGCCACTGTGACTGCCGGGCAGGCAACGCGAATCGATTAAAATAATCAGCGAAAGGAGAGTTTGTTTAACGTTACGTAACGACCGTTAACTTAAAGTTCAACACGTCGCAATAGTGGTGGCAGGCTTTCACACGATCCAATCACATAATGGGCTTTTTTTTCGGGGTCAGATCGCGTCAAATAAAAATGTTGTTGTTGCGTTGTTAAATCCGCCACCACCCGACGTGGCCAATCGGTAAGGGTTTCCATAAGAGAGTCGTCCTTCTTTGGGTTTGATCGCGTAAATAAATGTGTCGTGAAACCCGCCACCACCCGACACAGCCAATTAGTGAGGTTTCACATAATAGGGGGTTGTTCCAGCCTTTTTCTGCCGACAAAACTGAATCCTTTTTCGAGGAATCCTGTCCGTAATTAATCACACGGTACTTGTTGTGAACATGCAAACAAAAAAAACATGCTCTGATAATAATTTACTACCCGGCTTCGTCCATGGACTTGGATTCACCACGCCCGGCCGCCTTTGTCTCCCCAGTGGCGATGTTCACACAGCAGAGCAGTTACTCGTTTGAGGCTGAGTCGACCTAGGGCAGGCCCAGGACCGGTTCAAATAATCGTCACCGGTGGTGGCCGTGAGCGGGAATCGAACTGGGGTCGCCGGGTTCGTAGCGCGGCGTAGCGCTAACCACTACACTACCGCTCCCCCCCCCCCCCACACACACATAGACACACAGACACACAGACATACACACACACAGACATACACACACACAGACACACACAGACAAACACACAGATAAACACACAGACACACACACAGATAAACACACAGACACACACACACAGACACACACACAGACACACACACACAGACAGCGCGCTAACCACTACACCACAATGCGTTACGCTTCCACATTCGCGGGTCACGTGACAGATGTGACGTCACAGCTCACTTGCCGTGCAAAAAATATCTGCATTATTAAGCTCCCCCCCCCCCAAAAAAAATATTTTTGCATGGTGTACAGTCTGGAAAGTACCCACATGGCAAATGTCAAGTTTGTTGCATGTCGGGAAGTACGCTAAACATTTTGAACAGACAACACATAATCACAACTTCGCCTTTAACATATATGTGGAGATTTTCTTTAAGAACCGATTGGTCCACACCAGAGACAGCTTTCTTTAGAGCCAAGTCTCACCAACAGCGCTACACCGCGGAATGCCAACAGGCGAACAGCACCAGGACAATGCCACTATCCAGGGGCATGTATAACTCCGGGTGAGCAGCTACAACGTGTGTCAACGCAAACAAAACGTAGCCAATTCGTTACCGATTTCAGTGTTAACCGCTGCGTTACAGATGCGGCGGTGAGTCTTTTAACTCTCCAACACACACACACAGCCGTTGAGCGCTGAACAAGCGACGAATCTGGCCACGTTTTTTTTTGTTTATGCGACACAACACACCTTCACCAATTGGCTGTGCGTCGGGTGGTGGCGGGCTTAACGACACAACGGGCATTTATTTATATTTTTGGCGCGATGTAACCTCCCCCCCCTCCCCCCCCCTATCATCAACAGGACTATGCAAAACTAAAATAGCTGCACCGGCTACTAAATCGTGACTATATACAAAGACAAAGATCCCCCGTGTAGCCTTAACAGACTGTATGGGGCAAGTGCTGTTAGCGAGCACCTATGAAGGCCGGTACTCTGTGGCACACGAGGGGGGTGGGTGGCCAGCACCACGCCCGGCCGCCTTTGTCTCCCCTAGTGGCGATGTTTACGACACACCGCTACGCCAGGCTTACTCGTTTGAGGCTGAGTCGACCTAGGGGAGGCCCGGGGACCGGTTCAGATAATCGTCACCGGCGTCGGTGACCTGTGAGCGGGAATCGAACTCGGGGTGGCCGGGGTTCGTAGCGCTAAGCGCTAACACGACCGCTCCCCAACACCCCTTTAACAAAAACGCAATCACACATCAATTAAAACTCGTGGACGCGCCGCTCATTACGATGACAACAGCCCGTTATTGGTGACGCCTGTGGGACTGTATAGCAGCCTGATAGGGTGGGGGGGGAGAGACAAATGTTTTAAATGTAATGGTCAGCGAACGAGTGGAGTGTGGAGCTTTACGCAATTTTGTCATCGCATTTAGAATGCGCACCGTATGGATATTAGCAACATGCGGCACCCAAACCGACACAGCGATTACGGCACCGCCTGACAAGCAACGCATCAAGTAAATAACAAACTCGTCTAAATTAACTTCATTTACGTGTGGGTTAAAAAAAAAACCTAATTCCAAAGCATTTAAAAAAAAGATTTTTTTTGTTTAAATCAGGCACCTCTCGCAGCAACCGACCTTCGCCTGTTCTGCCGCCGCGACGTAGCCCAGTCTCCGGGCGGCGGTTCAGGCTCCGCGCCGTACCTAGGCCTCAACCGGCCTCGGGCTTCGCTTGACGAGCCACGGAACTCATTCTCCTCGCCGCGTCTTGGCGAATGTGATTGAAGAGGTGAAAACGCTCCGAACGGCGCGAGAGTGCTAGTTTGCCCTCTGGTTTATTTTAAATTTAATATAAAATCGAATTTCGGCCCCCCTCGATACCCAGCGGTTTTTCTCATTTTCCCCGTTATTTTAACGCGCGGGGGTCACGTGACGTTGTTGCTTAGCGACGCGGGCGTCGCGACCCCACGCTGAATATCGTAGCGCGGATAGGCATAGCGTATTTTAATTCGTCGTGCGGATGAGGATATGCGATTGTAATCCATACCGCGGATGGGAAACAAGCAATTGCAGTTCATAACGCGGATAAATACCATGCATTAAATATAGTAGCGCGCTTAGGTAGAAATTACTTTAATTCGTAGACCGAATAAGTAGGAGCGATTGTAAATCACAGTATAGATAAATACACGAGCTTGTAATTCATTGAACGGATAGAGACGTGGATATCCTAGCACGGTTAAGTATAAGCGATGGAAATTCATAACGTGTTTAGGTATAGTAATTTATCATTCGTAATGCAAATAGGAATACCAGCGTTGTAAGAGTATAGAAAGTGCAATTTGTAATTCGTAGCCGGGGCCGACGAAACGCGTTGAATTTCTTCGCACGGATAAGTATAAAGGATTGAAATTCGTAATGCGCATAGGTATATTCCATTGTTATTGCTAGCGAAGATAAGGATACACTTGTAATTTATAGCTCGGATAAGAGTGTGGGAGCGTGATTATTTTGTAGGAAAGATCAATCGTGGTTTAGATGTGAGCTTTTTGTGGGTGAGATCGCGTAAATATAAATGTTAAACCCGCCACCACCTGACACAGCCAATTAGTAAATCTTGTCACTTAAACAGAACGTGCCAATTCGTTACTATTACAGCACTAGTGTATGGTGTAGTGTATTGTGTATAGTAGTGTATACATTTCGAGTAGTGTATAGTGTAGTGTTGTATCCTTGTACAGCAACACCGGTTGTGTGTTGGGCAGCCAAGCCACAACATTTACAATCAGAGTACGACGTTTCGCCAGTAATTACAACCAGCTTCATCAGATGCCAACCGGTTTGCTGTACTTGTAACGAATTGGCACGTTTTGTTGACGTGACACAAATATCTGTGTTGTTTCTTCCTTGTGACGGGACTTTGTAGGATGGACGTTGAGATTTTTAAGGGGCACAATAAGGTCTGAATTAAGGTAGGGGCACTGATAAGGGGTTGACAGGTACTAGTGTGTGGGTGTGTGTGTGGGTGAGTGAGTGTGTGGGTGGGTGAGTGTGTGGGTGGGTGAGTGACTGTGTGGGTGAGTGTGTGGGTGAGTGTGTGTGTGTGGGTGAGTGAGTGTGTGGGTGAGTGAGTGTGCGGGTGAGTGTGTGGGTGGGTGAGTGTGTGGGTGAGTGTGTGGGTGAGTGTGTGGCTGTATGGGTGGTTGAGTGTGTGGGTGCATGGGTGGGTGTGTGGATGGGTGGGTGGGTGAGTGTGTGGGTGGGTGGGTGAGTGTGTGGGTGTATGGGTGGGTGAGTGTGTGGGTGGGTGAGTGTGTGGGTGGGTGAGTGTGTGGGTGGGTGAGTGTGTGGGTGGGTGAGTGTGTGGGTGTATGGGTGGGTGAGTGTGTGTGTGGGTGAGTGTGTGGGTGGGTGAGTGTGTGGGTGGGTGAGTGTGTGGGTGAGTGTGTGTGTGGGTGAGTGTGTGGGTGAGTGTGTGTGAGTGAGTGTGTGTGTGGGTGAGTGTGTGAGTGAGTAATAAGATAGGGCACAAAACTAAAGATTATGATCGCGAAGTGCAGGGAACCCATGACACCGCGTGACGTCACCGTGGAGCACCCCGCCAAGGTCATGCGCGATGACGTCATCGCGTAAGAACGCTCACCGTCAGTGACGTCGCGCGCCGACCGTCAGTCGCCGCGGTGAGCTTCCATTGACGCGAGCGACGTGACGTCGCCGCGCTCCGTTGACGCCCCTTGCTTACCGTGCGCGATGACGTCACCGCGCAAGCTGGCTGTTTTAAATTAGAGGCCGTCCATAAATGACGTCACGCGATTTTTGACCCCCCCCCCTTGTCACACGGCGTCACAAAAAGTCAGACCCCCCCTCAAATATGACGTCACCAGGCTCTGCCCCCCCCCCCAAAAAAAACATATTTCCATTTTGAAAATCAATGCTAAATTCTATGATAACTCCTTTGTCAAGGGGTGCCTCTGCGGATGTGTATGTTTTAACTGTAACATAGCCATTTCTGTGACCAGTCACAAGCTAATCACTCAGCCATTTCAATGCTAAATTCTATGCTAATTCCTTTGTCAAGGCGCTTTGTTTCTTCTCACACAGCTTAAAGGTCGCGATCTGAGCGTGGCTTTTTCACTCCAGCGCTGTCCTCCAGACAGTCTCGTTCCTTCACCTGATGAAGGCCGCTTGTGTTGTGGCCGAAACGTCGTGAGAATATTATTGTGTTATTTTATTTCATCAATTTATTATTTTATTCTCATTCTACGTGACTTTACCGAAAGAACCAAAGAAGTATATTTAATTAAGTAGAACGTAATGTCTATATTTATTTAAAGTTGCGCATTTTTATGTGACGTCACATTTCTCCCCCCCCCCCGCCTCGTCACGTATCGTTACAAATGTTTGACCCCCCCCCTACCCCCTCTAGGTGCGTGACGTCATTTATGGACGGCCCCTTACTGTGCTCATCTCCGTGACGACATCGCGCGAAGTGGGCGGTGACGTCAGTTTCAGTTTATTTATTGTTGGTATAGCCCTGTGAGCCATTCGGCTCTTGAATCGGGTGCAACCACAACAAACAGAAAACATGAACAAGAAAAACATCTTAAAGTAAAATTTTCATTTAAAGCTTTCGTGACTGCAGGGATTCATATTCTTGTTTTTTTCGGTAAAGTCACCACCACGTAGAAGGGAAACAATAAAATAATAAAGTCCTGGTCACAGAAACAAAGTTTGTGTAACAGTACAGCACTCGTGTATTGTGTAAATATAAAACAATAAAATGTGAGAATTTATTGTTTTATATTTTTATTGTTTTATTGTTTCCCTTCTACGTGGTGACTTTACCGAAAGAACCAAGAATATCTTAAAGTGACTATGTAACTGTGCAAAACAGAAAATCCATGAAAAAAACCAGCAAAATATTCCTGAAAAAAGCACCGTACACCAACGCTGTGTGCAAAAATCCCAGTGGGATGCAAGTCAAACAACAACAACAACAACCACAAGACAACTTTAGATTAAGGCCATCAGTCTAACTCCGTACTACAACAAAACAAACATGTCCAAACCAAAAAAACTTTTCCAAATCACCAAAAATAAAGCCATAATTGCAACGTAACAGTGATCACAAGGACTGTGACCGAATTTTTACAATAAACTACATAAATAACATGTAAGACCAAATCCTAGAGCCATATCTGGCTGCATGAGTTACTCCACAACAACAGAAGCATCAGTCGGAGTATTAAAATTTTTAATGCACTTTTAAGATCAGCACGCTAAATCAAAATACAGATAATACTTTGCAGCATCATCCGGAGCGAAACATTTTATTTTATTTTACGCCAATGAATAGCAGTGGCAGCTAGGGGTATACAACTCCTCTAGAGCAGTTTTGAGAGAAGATCTCATTTGTAGCGATTTAAGTTGCAGTTTATTGGCAATAGCATTCCAGATCCTGGGGGCATCAATAGCAAAGGCCCTTCCTCCAGTTTTTGTATGGCAATAGGGAATGTGAAGCTGGTAAATGAGCGAAGACCTGATGTCAAATTTGTTCTTTGAAACAGAGAGGAGATCCAGCAGGTAGTCTGCGGATTTTTTTGTAAGTACATCGTGAATAAATAAGATCTGGTGCACAAGCCGTCGAACATTAAGAGATTTTAAGTTTGACCCAATGTAGAGGTCACAGTGGTGAGTCCTATATGGGCAGTTCAATGCAAATCTTACGGCCGAGTGATAGATGGAATCAAGCTTCTTCAGTACACTACTTGGGGCTGATTGATACACGATGTCACAGTAGTCAAGTAGAGGCAGTATGGTAGCTTTTATCAATTCCAAACGGAACATTGGGGGGAAGCAGTGCTTGTGTCGATACAGAAAACCAATTTTTATTTTTGTCTTTTTACCAACATAATCAATGTGATCTTCAAAATTCAGTTTTTAATCCAGGATGACCCCAAGATACTTATAGATCTTGACTTGCTCTATTTGATAATTATTTAAGGAATGTAATTGGGGAAAAGTAACTTCCTGCTTTAGTCCTGGTGAGAACAATAGCACCTTGGTTTTGAAGGTATTCAGGACTAGTTTAAGAGCAACTAGCTGATGTTGTAGTTTGTTGAAATCACCCTGTAGCTTAGCAATCACGTCATCCGGAGAGCGGCCAGCAGTAATCAGTATCGTGTCATCTGCAAAAAGATTTACCCTGGAATGATCCAGGTCAGTGCCCAAGTCATTGACAAAAAGAGAGAACAAAAGGGGGCCGAGGATGGAACCCTGTGGAACCCCTTTTGTTATCTTGACACTGTTTGACCTCCAACCATCTGTGAATACAGTTTGGGTGCGAGAAAAGAGGTAATTTTGTAACCATTTTACTGCGTTTTCGGAAAAACAGAGGCAGCTTAGTTTACTAAGCAGGGTGTTGTGGTCTACTGTATCAAAAGCTTTGGACAGGTCTAGAAAAAGACAGGCACAGTACTGCTTATTATCAAGGCTACTGTAAATGTGATTCAGAGATTCTAATGCAGCAGATGTGGTGCTGTATTTTTTTCGGAACCCAGATTGTTTAAGATGTAGTAGATTGTTGGTGGACAGGAAACTGCTAATTTGGTATGTCAATAATTTTTCAAAATTTTTCATCAACGGGGACAAAATTTAGATAGGTCGGTAGTTATTTGGATCATCTTTAGGGCCCCCTTTGTGAAGTGGACGGACATAGGAATGTTTCCATTCTAGAGGAACTGATGCTTCTTTGATGGACAGGTTGAAAATATGGGCTATAGGTTTGTATATTAGGTGACCAACAGTTAGTAGAGCAAAGACGGGAATACTATCTGCTCCGGTAGAGGAGGACCCTTTGATGTAGGACAGCTGTTTCAGAACATTACTTTCGTGGATTGGCTGGAAACTAAATTCGTTTAATGTTTGGACAGGGGTGTAGGAATTTGCATGAGCAGGGGTGACTCCCAATACATTATCAAAAAGATTACCAGCTTCAGAAAAATGAAGGTTAAAATTGTCAACTATTTTTTTGGGATCTAAAAAATATCCCCCATTTCGGTTAAGCTCAACGGGCAGCTTGTCTGTTTTGGATGCCTTTTCGATACATTTGATTGTTTTCCAGAAAATCCTTGCATTTCCATGTGATTCCAGGAGAGTGGAGGAAAAGTAGGCATTTTTTGCATGCCGTAATTTTTTTGACGCATCTATTCCTTAAAATCCTGTATTCTAGCCAGTCATTGACCAAATTACTTTTCTGAGCACATGTCCAAGCCTTGTCCCTAGTTTTCATGAGCTTTGTAATCAAAGGATCAAACCATGGTGGGTGGTTGCCTTTAGTTTTAAATCTAACCAACGGAGCATGTTTGTTAAGAATTTGGAGAAACGTGTACCTGAAGGTCTCCCAAGCCGTAGTCAAGTTGGGGATATCACAGACCTTGTCAATATCCGAGTGAAGCACATCATTAGTAAATGCCTGAGTGCTGAAGTGTCTCATAGAGTACTTCTCAACCAATTTAGGGGGCCTTTGGGTCTGGCTGATGATCTCACCCCAAAAATAAAGGAGTGATCACTAACGTTATTACCCAGAAACACCAGTCAGTGTGAAATTGTGAGGGGCATTTGTCAATAGGACGTCAAGCAGAGATGACTGTCCCGGATTTTTTAGGTTGGGTCTTGTGGGGACATTTATTAATTGAAACAGATTAAAATTCATCCGCAAAATTTGTGGCCACGGCCGGCGGATTTATCCAATTCCAATTTAGATCACCCACTAAAACTATTTCACCTTTAGGGAGGCCCCCATAAAGCTCTCTCAGTGCAGATGCAGCTTCAACATCCTTCCCCACTATGTTTTTCTTGTTCGTGTTTGTGTTTCTTTGTTTGTTGTGGGTGCACCCGATTCAAGAGCCGAATGGCTCACAGGGTTATACCAAAATAAATAAACTGAAACTGGGCGGTCGATAGCAGCACACTACCAATATCACGCGCGGCCGGTCGCCCTTACGTCATCCGCTCGCGCGCTGAAACTTTTGACGTCGACGGGACGTCACTACGTTACTCGTTGAAAAGACGACGCCTCCACCTAATTTGCATAATAGGCGTTACCCAAAGTGAATGCCGTCACGAGCGTGTGCGCGTTGACGTCAGCGCACGACGCTCCTCCCCTCTTGACGTATTGACATGCTTACGTGGTGACGTAACGAGACCCCCCCCCCCATACCTGCTCGCTGGAGCGACAACCACCACAAAGTGACATCATCATACAGGCCTACGCAGTGACGTCCCCATTGTTTGAGCACGCATATTCCTCACGAATCATGACGTCATCACGCAGGTCTACGCGGTGACGTAACCAGTACCCCCCCTCCCCCGCTTACACCTGCCCGCTGTAGTTACACCCACGCACGATGCTCCCTTCCCCCCCTCCCCTCATGACATCACGCAGATTTACGAGGTGACGTAATCAGATCCCCCCCCCCCGCCGCCGACACCTGCCTGCTGTCTGCACGATGCCCCTTCCCCCCTCGTGACGTCATCACGCTGGCTTACGCGGTGACGTCCGGAAACCACCCACTCACCGCCTGTTTCTGCCCGCTGTAGATGCCCACCCTAATGAGTGACGTCATCACGCAGGCGTACGTGGTGACGTAGGGGAACCCCCCCCCCCGTACCTATCCGCTGCAGATACCCAACCCACTCACGCGGGCTGTACGTGGTGACATAACCAGAATCAACCCCCCATACCTGCCCGCTGCAGTAACCCCACCCCGCTGAGCGACGTCATCACGCAGGCTGTACGTGCTGACGTCGCGAGAACCCACCTCTCCATACCTTCCCGCTGCAGTAACCCCACCCCGCTGAGCGACGTCATCACGCAAGCTGTACGTGATGACGTCACGAGAACCCACCTCTCCATACCTGCCCGCTGCAGTAACCCCACCCCGCTGAGCGACGTCATCACGCAGGCTGTACGTGCTGACGTCGCGAGATTCCACCTCTCCATACCTGGCCCGCTGCAGTAACCCCACCCCGCTGAGCGACGTCATCACGCAGGCTGTACGTGCTGACGTCGCGAGAATCCACATCTCCATACCTGGCCCGCTGCAGTAACCCCACCCCGCTGAGTGACGTCATCACGCAGGCTGTACGTGCTGACGTCGCGAGAATCCACATCTCCATACCTGCCCACTGCAGTAACCCCACCCCGCTGAGCGACGTCATCACGCAGACTGTACGTGATGACGTACACGAGAACACCCCCCCTCCTCCCTCCCCCCCACACCTGCCTGTTGTAGTTACACTCCCCGCCAGGTACCGGAGTGCGGAACGCGGAACGCAGGCGATCCGCCCGTTCTTGATTTCCTTGCACCGGAGGAGGCCTTTAAAGCCATCGATTACTTTAGATTCACACGGAGGGGGAGAGAGAGAGAGAGAGGAAAGGAGAAGAGATTTTTTTTTTAAAACAACTAAAAAAAATGTTTCTCCTCACGGCGCTCTGCGTCCTCGCCGCGTCTCGAGGTGAGTTCGCGTGGCCGCGCCAAAACGCGGGGGGGTTCGTGAGGGAACAAAAGGGGACGACGCGGCGGTGGTGTTCATGGTGGTTGGTGGTGGGTGGGCTGGTGGTGGTGGTTCATGGTGGGTGGGCTGGTGGTGTTGATGGTGGGTTGATGGTTGATGGTGGGTTGGTGGTGGTGGTTGATGGTGGGTGGGCTGGTGGTGGTTGATGGTGGGTTGGTGGTGGTGGTGGTTGATGGTGGGTTGAGGGTTGATGGTGGGTTGGTGGTGGTCGTTGGTGGTGGGTTGATGGTTGATGGTGGGTTGGTGGTGAGTGGTGGTGGGTTGGTGGTGAGTGGTGGTGGGTTGGTGGTGGTGGTTTGATGGTGGGTTGGTGGTGAGTGGTGGTGGTGGTGGTTTGATGGTGGGTTGGTGGTGGTTGATGGTGGGTTGGTGGTGGGTTGGTGGTGGGTGATGGTGGGTTGGTGGTGGTTGATGGTGGGTTGGTGGTGAGTGGTGGTGGGTGGGTGGTGAGTGGTGGTGGGTGGGTGGTGAGTGGTGGTGGTGGGTGGGTGGTGAGTGGTGGTGGTGGGTGGGTGGTGAGTGGTGGTGGTGGGTGAGTGGTGGTGAGTGGTGGTGAGGAGCGGTTACCGCGCCTCGCTGCGGACCCAAGTTCGATTCCACGCTCACGGCCAACACCGGTGACGATTATCCGAACCCGGTCCTGGGCCTCCTCCCCTAGGTCGACTCAGCCTCAAATGAGTACTTGGTGCGGCGTGTAAACATCCCCACTGGGGAGACAAAGGCGGCCGGGCGTGGTGGCGTGGTGCTGGCCACCCCACCCCCCTCGTGTAGCCACGGTGCCGGCCTTCATAGGTGCTCCCTAACAGCACTTTCCCTAAAAATCACGTTAAGGCTACACGGGGGATCTTTGTCTTTTGTGGGGGGTGCGTGGAAGTAATCGATTCTGTTAGGTAGCGTGGAATGGATTCCGACGTTGGTAGTGAATGGGGTGGATCGTAATGTCGTCCCGGGTGCCCTCGATTCGATTCTAATAAGTTAAAATATTGCTTAAGTTGTGTACGCCTAAGTATAGTCTCACGACTTGAGATTATAACTGCAGATTCACTGCGACTACATTCTGCAGATTATTAACACCACTGTGCTAATGCCTCAGCATTGAGAGAGGGTTTCAATCCAGCAGTGGATTGATGATGGCTGGTGATGGTGGATTCCAGATTCGCTCCACTGGGGATTCCAGATTCACTCCACTGGGGATTCCTGATTCACTCCACTGGATTCCAAATTCACTCCACTGTGGATTCCAGATCCACTACACTGAGGATTCCAGATCCACTACACTGAAGATTCCAGATTTACTCCACTGGATTCCAGATTCACTCCACTGGGGATTCCAGATTCACTCCACTGGATTCCAGATTCACTACACTGGAATCCAGATTCACTCCACTGAGGATTCCAGATTCACTCCACTGGGGATTCCAGATTCACTCCATTGGGGATTCCAGATTCACTCCATTGGGATTCCAGATTCATTCCACTGTGGATTCCAGATTCACTCCACTGTCGGTTCCAGATTCACTCCACTGTGGATTCCAGATTCACGCCACTATGAATTCCAGATTCACTCCACTCTGGATCCCATATTCGCTCCTTTGGGGGATCCAGATAAGCTCCACTGTGGATTCCAGATTCACGTTACTGTGGATTACAGATTAACTCCACTGTAGGTTCCAGATTAACTTCACAATGGATTCCAACTTCACTCCATTGTGGATTCCAGATAAACGCCACTATAATACGCGGTACGTAATGTAATGCGATTCCTTAAATAATTTAACCCGGTCGACGTCAGCAATGTAATCCGATTACTTTGGCGATGTAATCTGCGTACTGTTCCATTTACTCAGCTAATGAGATGCAGGAAAGGGTGGAGTAGTTGTAACGAGAGAGACAAATCACCAGTCCTATATATAGATGTGCCCCTGGACGGTCAGTAAATGCGATGACATCCGCATTGTTTAACAGGATTGTGGGACGATCTATGTATAGACTTAAGATTTGTAAATATTAGGTAGATTTGTATATTGTGGGCGCTATATACATCTTAACTATACATATTTTATACAGTCTAGACTTAAGACGTAACTTTTACGTGGATTTATATATACCATACATATTATTCCAAAGGCACTTTACAACAATTTTAAAAGTTGTACAGAAGATGATGGTTGAAAATGTGGTGTAGCACACCTGTCAAAAACCCTTAACAGTGCCCCGACCTTATTACAGACCAATTCAGATCTTATTGGTCACCCCGTGCCCTTATGAATCTCAACGTTCATCATACAAAGTCCCATCGCAAGGGAGAAACACAAACAAATAGACAATATTTTTGCCCGTATTGAAACAGCTGTACGCCGTATAAACCTAAACACACAATTTTGCCCTGTACAAGAATTACGGGGTGAGCCGTATGGGTTTGATAGCTATGGTGTCGTATTTTTTTGTTGTTGTTAGAGAATTAATTAACTTCGATGGTTTTGCTGCCATGCCCCAGGATTGCATTTATTGTTGGAAAAAAAATATCCGCAACAATTTATGTACTTTATAAGCACTTTGTTCTCCCTGTACGTACGAATACCTTTATTTGATAACTGTAGTGATTCCTTTCGCGTACCTCCTCACTATTTTGCACCGCTATCATTGTACGATGTTTTGGTCGTTGTCTATTTGCTGCTTCCATAGCTCGCGGACGCCCGTGAGCTTGGAAGCTCATCAGATTCCGACAGAGTAGTGGCAGCCTCTCCACCGCAGTGAGCGTTCGAACATTCCACGTGGCCACCCGCGGTGGCTTTTCATTACTCCCCCTCCTGAAGTCTAAACCACGGATCTCCCCCGATCACGATCGGTCCCAAATTAATCCGATCTACTTTTATTGGGAAGCCACTGCAGTTATGGAGCTTTTAAATCATACATCGAAAACTCATTTCTTTAGAACTGCTTAAATTGCCGTCGGGTTTTTGAGTCTGTTGTACTTACTCACCCAGGCACCACGTACGGTGCGAAAGAAGTTCAACATACATACGTCCAATAGGAAGCCACTGGAGCTATGGTACGTTTAAATTATACATTCAAAATATTTTTTTTAGATTGTCTTAATTCTTGGTTGTACTTAACTACCCGGGCACCTCTGATTAGTGTGGATGGCTACGTGCGGTGCGAAAGAAGTTAAACATACATACATATCCTAAATAAAACTAAAATATGTTTATTGTTACCAGGTAAGGCCCCACTGAGCTATGTGGCTCTTTTTCAGAAGCCACCTGGCTACCACAAATGATAGCTCAACGAAGTGGCTCATCATCATCACGTGGACATTTATAGAAGCACAGAGCAAGGTATAGAAGCCTTTAATTTACAAGAGTGAGTTGTTACCTTGGTCACCGCAAAATGACAAAGACAATGATTAAATGAAGTACAGTAAAACAAAATAGCACTAAGCAAATAGGAAGCTGAGCAAACAAAATACCTTCCTTGCCGCGAGGTGCGAAATCTGAAAACCATTGTACGAATGCAAATGAATGTTTAAGTCATGGCTTACCTGGAGCGGGAGTTGGCAACGGCCGATTTATGTTTGAACCTATCGCAGGACAGTTACAAACAAAATAAAAAGTTTAAAAAATATTGAACGGTTATAAGGGGTGACCACCGTTTTGCAGTAACGTCAGCAGGCAATATAAGTCTATGGGCGGTGTAAGTCGATGGGTGATGTTAGTCTACGGTGTTACTAATACAGGGACGACTCTACTAAAGAACGAGTTAGGTTTCAGACGTCTGTTGGTAAGTCGATTTGTTCGTAAGTCCAACTTTATTGTTGATTCCAAACGCGTTGTTACGGCGTGTACACTAAACACGGGGAATGGCTTTAAAAGTTGTATAATCTTCTGTAGATGGAGATGCCACTGGTTTTTCATGTCCTGCAGATGTAGATGCCACTGGTTCTTCATGATCTGTAGATGTAGATGCCACTGGTTCTTCACGTTCTGCTGATGTAGATGCCACTGGTTCTTCACGTTCTGTAGATGTAGATGCCACTGGTTCTTCACGTTCTGCAGATGTAGATGCCACTGGTTCTTCACGTTCTGCAGATGTAGATGCCACTGGTTCTTCACGTTCAGCAGATGTAGATGCCACTGGTTCTTCACGTTCTGCAGATGTAGATGCCACTGTTTCTTGACGTTCTGCAGATGTAGATGCCACTGGTTCTTCACGTTCTGCAGATGTAGATGCCACTGGTTCTTCACGTTCTGCTGATGTAAATGCCACTGGTTCTTAACGTTCTGTAGATGTAGATGCCACTGGTTCTTCACGTTCTATAGATGTAGCCACTGGTTCTTCACGTTCTGCTGATGTAGACGCCACCACCGCCATCTATTGCGTGGGGCGTATGAACTTACAGACTCTCGGTCCGAACGGGCAACTGGACATACGGACCAGGTTTGTTCGAATCTCTGAAAGTTTGTCAGTCGAACATTCGTAAGTACAGGAGTCCCTGTATGTAAACAGATACGGATCTATGTCCAATGCACCTGGCAGTATATATGGGAAAGTTTTTTCTTAATTCATGGTGGGACCCATCTCGCCACTGTGGTTAGAAAATAAAAAAATGAAAAAAGAGGAAAAAAATAAAAAGGAAAAAAGAGAATAAAAAAGATAATAACAACCTCGCCCGGTGTCTCTCTCTCTCTCTCTCCCCGTGGTTGCGTGGATTGCTTCTCCCGGGTCCTCCGGTTTTTCCCACCTCCACATTGAGAATCGATGTCACGTGTTGAGTATTTGGCTCCTGCTGTACATTTCCACACGACGACGATGGGCGCCACTTTGTTGAGCTGCCATTTGTGATGGTCAGGGTCGCTTCTGACAAAAGAGCCACACAGCTCATTGGGGAGGGGGGCCCTAATAGTCTATAGTTTTAATTAGTTTAGGTTTATCTACGGGAA